AGATGGGGAAGTTCTCCTTCATTATTTTTTCAAATAAGTTTTCAATTCCTTGGTCTTCCTCTTCTCCTTCTGGCACCTGTATGATTTGGATGTTGGAACATTTAAAGTTGTCCCAGTGGTTTCTAAGCTTCTCCTCATTAATTTGAATTCTTGTTTCTTCATTCTGTTCTGACTGAATGTTTATCTCTTTCTTCTCCAAATTGTTGATGTGAGTCCCAGTTTCCTTCCCTTTACTGTTGGTTCCCTGTATATTTTTCTTTATTTCACTTTGCATAGCCTTCACCTTTTCCTCCATTTTGTGACCATACTCAATCATTTCTGTGAGCATCCTGATTACCAGTGTTTTGAACTCTGCATCTGATAGGTTGGCTGTCTGTTCATTGCTTAGTTCTATTTTTGGAGCTTTGACCTGTTCTTTCATTTGGCCATATTTCTTTGTCTCAGCGCACCTGTTACATTGTAAGGAGCGGAGCCTTAGGTATTCACCAGGACGGGGCAACCCAGGTCACTGCGTTTTGATGCTGTCTATGGGGAAGGGGTCCGAGAGGGAACAGTGCAGCTTGCTTGGCTCTCAGCTGGCTTTCAGTCACTTCCTCCGCTACCCACAAGCAAATTGGGCCCTTTTGGTGCTGATTCCTGGGTGGGTGGGTGGGTCTGTGTATGTGCTAGGACCTTGTGGGTCTTTCCAACGAACTCTGCTGTGAGGCTGGGAGTTTCTCCTACAGCCACATCCCCCACAGGTTTTTACAGCCGGAGGTTTTGAGACTTCTTTTCCTGCACTGGAACCCTGGATTATGCACCTCTTCCCCCCTATTTATCTACATGCAAATATAGTACCACCTGGTCCACCAGCCGCTGCCTCACCTCCCTGGTCCTCTAGCTGCTGCCTTGCTGCCCACCCTTTCCACTCCAGCTGTCTGTATCTGCCCCTCCTACCTGTCTGGATGAATGTTTCTTTAGCTCCTTGGTTGTCAGACTTCCATACAGTTTGATTTTCTGGCAGTTCTGGTTATTTAATGTTCTTAAATTTGTTGTCCTTCTTTTGGTTGTGCGAGGAGGCAAAGTGTATCTACCTACACATCCATCTTGGCTAGAAATCCTAATTCTCTCCCTCTTCAAATGCTGATAAATGTCACTCCAGTTTCTATTTTTGGAATTGCTAATAGAGAGATGGCAGAAGGGTGTCCCATTCCTCAGGTGTGTCGAGGGAAAAAAAGAATTAGTTGATTGATTTTATTAGTGTATATAAAGAAAGAATATGTCTGAGGGAGGTTGGTCAGACATGGGCCAAGAATTTAGGATTTAGGACAGAAAAGTAGAGTCACAGAGGCAGACTTTGAACACTGGAGAAATGTACAGAGATTAATCTTTGGGCCCCACCAATGTAAAGTAATTGTCCCTTAACACTGTCTAACTTTACTCTGATTCCATGCTTATCATGCAAAGTTCTGGTTACCCCGGATGAATGATGTGGAATGAAGGAGTTTTCATGACTAGAAAGGACTGTTACTTTACTATATGTTAGTATATTTACTGCGGAGAAAGTGTACGCAGTTTGTGAGTATGGCTTGTTTTAAGTTGGCTACTCTGAGTGCAGTTCTAGGACACTGAGAATGTTGAACCCATTCTCTAAACAGTGGTCAGTTTACGAAGTTAATGTCACCATCTGAGAGCCTTTGGAAGAGTGTCATCCAGCCTTCTCCTACAGATGCCGCAGTCTTATCAAACCCCTTTACTCTTCCTTATGCTCTTCTCCAGCGATCACTTCTTTGGGAGTTACTTAGAAATCTAGAAGTTTTCCACTGGTTCTATAAACGAATAAGTGCAATGCATTCAAACCTACCTGGGAAAAATAAATGTTAAATTGCTATTTTAGTCATATTTTCTATACAATAACTTGGCAATTTTGAAGTATTTGTATTGTTGTATTCTTCCCTCTTTTCTACCTTTTTGCTTGTCAGAACTTTTCCACCTATTTTCCTGTTGTCAGTGAAGTATGCCTCCTACCTAGTCACCCAAGCCAGAAACCTGGGTGCATCCTTGTTTCTTACCTCTTCTTTGCCAGCCATGTCATACTGGTCATCAAAGCCCTTCCCATTTTTAGCTTGAACCATTACAATAGTTCCCTACCTTTTAATTTATTGTAAAGATTTTATTTATTTACTTTTAGAGAAAGGGGAAGGGGAGGAGAAAGAGAGGGAGAGAAACACCAATGTATGAGAGATACATCGATCAGGGATGACTCACACACCCCTAAATGGGGACCTGGCCTGCATCGCAGGTATGGACCCTGACCAGGAATCAAACCCTTCGCTTTGTGGGAAGATGCCCGACCCACTGAGCCACACCTGTCAAGGCCCTACCTCTTTTCAACACTCTAATATGTCTTTTATGTTGTTACCAAAGTAGTAGTAGTTTTAAAAGTGTATATTTTATTTAATTTATTTATTATTAAGGTAACATTGGTCGATAACATTATGTAATGCACATTATAATTTTATATCTGTATACTCTGTTGTGTGCTTATCACCAAAAGTCGTTTCCTTCTGTTACCATATATTTGACCCCCTTTACTCATTTTGCCCTCCTTCCACTCCCTGCTACCTCTGGTAATCACCATTTATTGTTTGTATCTATAAGTTTGTTTCATCTTGTTTGTTTCTTTTTTTGTGGTACTTTTCACATATCAGTGAAATCATGTAGTTTTTGTCCTTTTCCGTCTGACTTATTTCACTTAGTACGACACCCTCAAGATCCATCCTTGTTGTTGCAAATGATCTATATAGAAAACCCCAAAGACACTACCAAAAAAACTATTAGAAACAATAAACAAATACAGGGAAGTTGCAGTATACAAAATTAATATGTAAAGTTCCACTGTTTTCCTATATACTAACAATGAAATTTCAGAAAAAGAAAAAAAAATTCTATTTGCAATTGCATCAAAGAGAGTAAAATACCTAGGAATAAACTTAACAAAAGATGTGAAGGACCTATAACTGAAAACTACAAGAAATTATTAAAAGACATTGAAGAAGACACAAAGAAATGGAAAGATAATCCATGTTCATGGCTGGAAAAATCAACATAGTTAAAATGGCCACATTGCCCAAAGCAATACAGAAATTTAATTCAATCCCCTTCAGAATCCCAGGGACATTTTTAAAAGTAATAGAACAAAAAAAACCCCATCAGATTTGTATGGAACCACAAAAGACCGAGTAGCCAAAGCAATCCTGAGAAAAAAGAACAAAGCTGGCAGTACCATACTCCCTGACTTCGAAATTCAGTTCATGCTTTTTATGACAGAGTAGTATTCCATTGTTTATATATATATATATATATACTATCTTTATCTGCTCATCTATTGATGGGCACTTAGGTTACTTCCATTTCTTGGCTATTGTAAATAATGCTGAAATAAGTACCGGAGTTCATATATCTTTTTGAATGAGTGTTTTTATATTCTTTGGATAAATACCCATAAAAAGTATATCTCTTAAAAACACAATTCTGAACTTGTTACTTTTCTATGTGAAGCTAGTAGGTGGCTTTTTATATTTTGACAGTGTAAACCCAAGTTCTTTAGCGTGGCTTATGAGGCTCTTCATGATGTGGCTGCTTCCACCTTCCCCGTCTTTCCCCATCACCAGTGTTAGTAATGGCGACCTGACTTGCCAGGCTGCTCCACTCCCTTACACGCTTGCCTTTGCCTTATTTGCACTTATCTTATTTAATCTTTCAGTAGCATTTCACAACATTGCACCTTCCCTCTCTTTTGTAAGATCTTTCCTTGATTTACATGACATTCCTTCTGGAATTTCCTCTGATCTTTCTGGTATTTCCTTCCTCCTTTTTTGCTGGCTACTCCTCTCCTACTCATCCTTTACATGCCAGGCTTTCTTAAGGCTCAGTCTTAGGTTCTATTTTCTCTCTTAAGCCTACTCTATATTTAGCTCTGCTCTATATACAGGAGTTTACTAGAAGAATTTTTTATATTTAGCAAAAGCATATAAAATTATTTACAGTATTATTAGTGTACTATTTTTCATGGTTTTTTGGTTACTATACAAGAATAAGGATATCTATCTACAGTTTCAGTGAATGAGAACTACCATAATATATCAAAAGCACTAATTTTTTAAATAGTAGAAGTTAGCCCCCTTGACCCTTCCTACAGTGTGCTTGCTTCAGTTTCAGTGAGTGCTGTTCTCCACTGTCTTTGGTCCCTCATTCTGCTATTGTAGAAATGATTAGATTTTAGCAACCCTCCCCCCCAAAAATGTTGATCTTTTCAGTTCATCAAGTAGCATTTATCATGTCTACACCCCTTATTAAACCAAATGGAGCAACTAGGTAAAAATTAGGGCAAGCTCTGATATATTTCATTTAAAAGAAAATTTTTTGTCTGAGAAAGAAATTGGAATTATTAGGTAAGACTCTTTATAATGTTTATTATAGTCCACATTCCTAACAGGAAATTATTCTGAATAAAGTAAAAAATATTTTTAAATGACAGAATTATTGAGTAATCAAGATGTAAACCTTTCAGTGATGTAAGATGTGCTTATTAAAATTGCTCCATTTGATTAGCTCACTCTCCCGGCTGACATTCCATTTATGATACTCAAGAGATTCAGTCTTTGACAGTAGTAAAGGGTTAATATAGGAGTTTGATGGGGCTGCTGCGTCAGTACTGAAGAAGTAAGGACATTGAGAGGATTGAATAGAAAGTATTAGTATGGAGAAGAAAGCTTAACCCTTAATATATTTCATTTTTAGAATGGGATTAAAATAATAATGCAAAAAAGCATTTCACATAATTGAACATAAGCAAGATAGTGTCATTTGCATTTTATTGTTTCTAATCAGAAGAAATTGGGAACTGTCCCTTTAATGAAACCCTGTTTACCTATCTCTTCTAGTAGGCGTGGCTTAGGAACCTGTAGAGTGAGGTATAACTTCCAATTCTGCATTCTGACCTGCCACTTTGGAAAGAATGCTGATACTACAAACCAGGAAGTGACAAGTAATGTGCTTTAAACTACAATACAACTTGTTTTTTAATAAGGAAAACCTTCTTATAACAAAAATGGAAGATTGAAGCAGTGATTTAACATAGTTGTCATTAAATATTTGGAACTCTGCTCTGGGATAAAGACTTTGCAGCATATCTAGAATACAAAGCTTTCTGGGCCAGAAATTGATCTTCCGACTTTTGAGCCTTATCTGATTACTGCTTGGTTCATCTTTATTTTGTTAAAGTACTCTTGCAGGCTGAAACGGAGAGACTCTCCATTGTTTGCAGGTAGGTGGTCAGTGTTTGTTTAAAATTTAGGTTGCTTTTCTAAAGGTGACTTACCTCTGATTCTGCTGCTGATTATTGAAAGAACAATGAATAACAGTCTGGATATGTGTTTGAATATTTGAATGTTCAGCATGGCTGTAAATAATCACATTTTTGTGACTTCTGGCCAAATTTGAAAAAAATGTCATTTTTTAACAAATTAGCAAGTCTGTAAGGTGGTGAATTGTGAGTTCTATTTTGTTTTCCATTAACCTTTATGTATACATTAAAATAACTAACAGATTAAAAATATTTAAATTACCCTGCTATTAGCTTCCTGATGGTATCTGATACTATAATTAAATCATTTATGTAGTAAAATACAATGGAATTTTTGTTTTAATTTTTACTTATAAGTTTCATTTCTTTCACTCTTAGGAAGTGATCTGAATATTTATCATTGGTTTATATACTTGCTTTAGTTTGCTTTTGGTGTATATTAGTATCTATTATTTCAGAATAGTTTTTAAAAGAGGGTAATATTCCAGAAGTATATTGAAATGTTGCTTGTTTCTCTTTATAATGTTAAACATCCATTTATGATACTAAAAGTATTTCAAAGATAACGTCTTTGGAAAAGTGGGTTAATTATTAGTATGAGCCAACTGCTATTGTGAAAAAAAGTTCACAAATGGCTCTTCTGTAGTGGAAGTCAAAAAGAAATGTGTGGGACACCTTTAGGATCAAGGACAGTAGTTCCTTAATTTTTTCTTACTACCAGCGATCCTTGATAAAAATAGAAAAATTTTTTTTCTATGAGTACTATGTTTCAAAAGACTTTTTGTTCACCGAATAAGTGGTGTATATTACATAATAAAATGTTAGAACATTATTATATATTAGTCGTATGTTTTTTCCAATGAGAATTTATTATCAGTCTTATATAACCACTCTAGGTTAATAGTATTCAGCTCCAAACAAAGAGGCTGGACATTTTACTTAGCTTGAATAACTTTATTGTACGTAACTGAATATTTTTGGCTTTTGAAATAGTGATGATATTATCTGCATTTTCATCAACTATTCTTGTGGAATCTTAGTATTCTGGGCATGGCAAATTGGGAACTAGTGGTCTAAAATGCAGAAAATTTGTTATTAATTTATTTGAGGTTTCATGAAATACAATGAAGGTCATCGAGTATAATATAACAAACAAAGATGCCATAGCTACTAGACAGAGAGAAGAAACAAGGAGAAAGAAAAAAGGAACTGGAGGGACTTTTGGTGAAGACCGCAGCATAGGAAGATGTGGCTCACTATTTCACACAGCCACATCAAAATTGCAACTAAAATATAGAACAAGCATCACTCAGAACCATGAGCAATCAAGTTGAATCTAATTGTGACAACTATGGAATTAAAGAAACCACATCCAACTGTACTGCTAAGAGGTGTGCAGACATGGAAGGGGCTGGTCTCTCAACCATGCGTGGTTGTAAAAAACTACGGGAGGGATATATTGGGAGTGAGGAGTCCCAGGCCTCCCAGCCCAGGGTTCCAGTGCCAGGAAGGTAAATCCCCACAACTGCAAAAACCATCAGGGATTGAGTTGTTGGAAGAAACTTCTGGAGCCCCAAGCTGTTCTTAAAACCCACACACAGACTTACCTACTCAAACTCACTCCCTCTGAGCTCCAGCACCAGAGTAGCAGCTTGGAAGACACTGGTGGCATAAAGACAGGTACTGAAGTGTTTGACTTAAAGGCGAGCAGAGACCATTGTCCCTTTTCTAATCCTTCCTCCAATAGAGCCAGCAAGCTGGTGTCATAACTGAGACTCCATCAACCTGGATAACAGTTTGATCCACCTTGGAGATCCCCAGAAACTCTGCCTCACCCAACCTACGGGCCTCCCCAAGCTGCTTTTCCATATGAATGGTTGGTCTTGACTCATGCTTCACAACATCCTAAATCCTCTCAAACAAGCAACAGCTGGATTCAGTGAGCCCCAGGCCAGGCACTAGCAGCACCCAGCCTAGATTCACAGCTGGGCTTCGCCTGGGAATCTCCAAGACCACAAGTAGCAGCCATCTCAGATCGCTTTATAGCTCAGGCACAGTGGCCCCGGGAAAAACACAGGCTGGGGCTGACCTTGGCCTGCACCACCTTGGAAACCCCAGGGCCAGTGCACCCAGTGGACACCTACAGACCACGTTGGAGCACCACCACCCTGTCCTTGCACAGCTGACCCTCCAAGGAGAGCAGAGGTTGGTGGTCAGTGATCACAGCCAGTCCTTGCAGCTGTCTGGCTTGGGTGTGTCCCTCCCATTGATCTTCTAACAGTGACCAAGGCTCAACTATAAGAGGAGGGCGTGCTCCGCACACGCAAAGGGCACACCTTGAGTACCCAGCTTGGACGATAGGGGAGGCTGTGCCACTGGACCCTATAGGACACCTACTACAAAGGCCACACTACCAGACACAGAATCAAAGCAGCTCTACCTAATACATAGAAACAAACATAGGGGGCTTGCCAAAATGAGGAGACAAAGAAACGTGGCCCAAATGAAAGAATAGATCAAAACTCCAGAAAAAGTGCTAAATGAAATGGAAATAAGCAATCTATCAGACGCAGAGTTCAAAGCACTGGTTATAAGGATGCTCAAGGAACTTAGTGAGGACCTCAGCAGCATAAAAAAGATTCAGTCAGAAATGAAGGATACACTAATTGAAATAAAGAACAATTTACGGAGAAACAACAGTAGAATGGATGAAGCCGAGAATCAAATCAATGATTTGGAACATAAGGAAGCAAAACAAACAAACAAAAACAACAGTCAGTCAGAACAAGAAGAAGAAAAAAGAATCCAAAAAAAATGAGGATCCTGTAAGCAGCCTCTGGGAAAACTCCAAGAGGTCCAACATTTTCATTATAGGGGTGCCAGAAGGAGATGAGAAAGAGCAAGAAATTGGAAATCTATTTGAAAAAATAATGAAAGAAAACATCCCTAATTTGATGAAGGAAATAGACATGCAAGTCCAGGAAGCACAGAGAGTTTCAAACAAGATGGATGCAAAGAAGCCCACTCTAAGACACGTCATAAGACTGTCAGCTGATTTCTCAAAAGAAACTTTGCATGCTAGGAAAGCTTGGCAAGAAATATTCAAAGTTATGAAAAGCAGGGACCTACAGTCAAGATTGCTCTACCCAGGAAAGCTATCATTTAGAATCAAAGGGCAGATAAAGAAAAAAGTAAAGGAGTTCATCTTCACCAAACCATTATTATATGAAATGTTAAAGGGACTTATTTAAGGAAAAGTAAAAGATCAGAACAATGATCAATAACATGACAAAAAGTATATATATCTTTAACAATTGAATCTAAAAAAACAAACTAAGCAAATAAGAAGAACAGAGAATCATGGATACAGAGAGCATTTTGATAGTTGCCGGATGGGAGGGGTGTATAGGGGAATGGGTGAGTAGGTGAGGGGAATAAGAAGTACAAATAGAGCCCTGGCTGGTGTGGCTCAGTGGATTGAGTGCCAGCCTGTGAACTAGAGGGTTATGGGTTCGATTCCCAGTCAGAGCACATGCCTGAGTTGCAGGCCAGGACCCCTGTGGGAGGCACGCGAGAGGCAACCAGACAATGATGTTTCTTTCCCTCTCTTTCTCCCTCCCTTCTCTGTCTAAAAATAAATAAATGAAATGGTAAAAAAAAAAAAAAAGGAGGTACAAATAGGTAGTTACAGAATAGCCATGGTGATGTAAAGTGCAGTAGGAATGGAGTATCCAAAGAACTTATACACGTGATCCATAGACATAAACAATGGTGGGGGTATTGCCTGAGGGGGTAAGGTATGCTGGGTGGAGGGGGACAAAGGGGGAAAACTTGGGACAACTGTAATAGCATAATCAATATAATTTTTATAAAAAGAGCAAGTGGCATGGATTTGCCATAGGGACTACCAAAAAGGAGTTCAAGGCAACTGTATGTTTGGGCTCCATTAAATCTCTGTGTATTTATTCCAACTGTTTCCCAACTTAAAATTTTTACTCTACTTAGGCTGATAAACTCTTAACTGACTTCAAAACAAGTATTACTTATGTTCTTCACATATTTATTCCATATGCGTATGTTGGTTTTCTTTTTGCAAAATTTTCTCATTTCTCCATTTCCCCTAGTCACGTCCTCCTTTCAGCTCAGCTGAAGACCTTTCTCCAATGTGAAGGCTTTTCTGATCATTCTAACCCACAGCAGTATTATTACAGTGTTGATTTTACTGGGACTTTAGTATATAATAATATAGCTTGTCATATTTAATTTACATAAAAGTCTCCTGTGTTTCTTTAACTATATTGTGAGTTATCTGAGAGCATTTCATCCTCCTCAGCATCTAGTGGAATGAATTACATTTGATAGGTTATAAGTAAATAATCTATTGAATAAATAAGAGAAATAAAGAATCTTGCCAGCAGTTGTTTCAAGTGTTGTGCTGCCTCGGTCTGCCTTTCTTAATCATGTGATTAAACATTAGTAATATTTCTAGAAATGAAACCATTGGTTATCACACTATTTTTGTTCTAGTTTTGCTATGTAATGTCAGTTTTTTTGTATTAAATTATTTCAACACTGATATGATGTCTACAAAGAAAGAATGAGGTGGGCTCTATTAAAAATAAATCAAGCCCTGGCTAGTGTGGCTCAGTGGGTTGGTCATCATCCTGCAAGCCAAGAGGTCAGCAGTTCAAATCCCCATCGGGGCACATGCGTGGGTTGTGGGTCAGCAGTTCAAATCCCTGGTTGGTAGCGTGTGGGAGGCAACCAATTGACATTTCTCTCCCTCTCTCCCTCCCTGACCCTTCCTCTAAAAATAAATAAAAATTTTAAAAAATATCAAAAATATTCTGAATTTCAAACTGTTCCATTTTATATTTGAGGAAAATATAATTTAAAGTTTACTGTTATGTAAGGTTTTTTTAAATGGTTAAAGTATTCATGTGTATTATGGATGCAGAGGATGTGTTCTGTTTGATTATTAGAACTCTGAATGGTGATCTGGTGGTCATGGTAGACTGGTTGGATGACAGAATTTAAATTGGAGATTAGTAATTGCTGGAAACCATGAACACATTATTTTATAAAAAGAAAATTTTAAACATCTTTCCATTTACAGTAGTTATTATATTACGTACTTTATTCCCAGTATGAACTCTGCCAGATAAGTTTTGTTAACCCATATTTTCATAGCTACCAAAGTTACATGTCTGGTAGCTGTACAACAGGTCATTTTTATTCAATTCTTCAAAATTCATGTTTGAACCAGTGTGTTATACTGTCTTACATTTTTGTGTCATTTTAGCGCTTGACCAGACAGGAATTCTGGCAGCTGCTCCAGCAGAACTATGGCACTGAGCTAGGCTTAAATGCTGAAGAGATGGAAAGCTTGTCCCTGTCGATTGAGGATAATGTGCAGCCAAGGTACAGCAATGTTCTGAAATGTCAAGACTTCTTAGTCATTAATCAAAGTAGAATCATTTTAAACTTTACTAATTCAGAATTTCTATTAATTCACTCTTGGGTGAAATTTCCCTCCATTCTCTCTGATGGAATGGAATGAAAGGTGAAGACAGTGAATAGTTTACTAAATCGGTAAGCAAATACAAGCCATATTAGGAAATATGTCTTTGTAACTGTCATGTGGGATTTGCTTAAAGCGTGGCTTTAATAAACCTTTTTATTACAGATCTGGAGAGGTACTCAGTGAAATCTCTGTGCTTATACAAAACAATAACTTGGCTGGTAGATTTTTTTTTTTTTTTAGATTTTATTTATTTATTTATTTTTTAGAGAAGGAGGAAGAGAGGGAGGGAGAGAGGGAGAGAAACATTGAGGTGTCAGAGAAACATCAACGTGTCCGAGAAACATCCATTAGTTGGCCCTCGCACGACTCCAGCTGGGAACCTGGCCTGCAGCCCAGGCATGTGCCACGACTGGGAATCGAACCAGTGACGATTCAGTTTGCAGGCTGGCACTTATTCCACTGAGCCACACCAGCCAGAGAAGCTGGTAGATATTTTGAGGGATACAAAGATACTACAATTTTTCCTCAAGGATACCCTAGCATAGTGCTTAAGATATAGTTGGCACTCAACTAATACTCAGTACATGGGGAATGCAAATAATTATAATGCAAGGTTGAAAATGATAAGAACCAAAAGAAGCAATAGATAACGTGATAAAGGAATTCAGAGTAGAGAGATATTATTTTTGACTGAGAGGAATTCATTCTGAAGAGTAGACATTTTTATTAACCTGTACAAGTAAAAGTGTATTTTGTGTAATGGTAATTGAAGGCATAGCAGTAAAAACAGCTGAGGATAATGCATTAAAAATCAAAAGCAAACATTATGCTAGGTGAGAGAAGCCAGTCACAAATGACCACATATTGTGTGATTCCATTGATATAAAATGGAGCCGAGAATCAGCAAATCCACAGAGACGGAAAGTAGATTAGTAGTGGCCGGGGGCTGGGAGGAAGGGAGAATGAGAGTGACTGCTGATGGTTGCACAACTCTGTAAACTACTGTATTGTATACTTTAAATGCAGCGAATTTTATGGTGTGTGAATTATAACTTAATAAAACTGTTATCAAAACTTCTATAGCAAATAAGTCTTAAAACTGAAATCTTTCAAAAGTCTTGATGTGTCTGCAGAATTTTTACACTATCTAGTCTTCTAGTTATGCTGATCCTATTTACAGCGTTTCAGTTAAACATCAATATTATACAGTCTTTTTTATATGGTTACATGTGTATAGTTTATTAGTTTTCTGTAAAGTTAAATATTTCCAGTGTACTGCTCTCCGTGTCAAGTTTATTAGCTTCTTTCAGGTACTGGAGTTGGATAGAAAAGCAACTGATACAGTGCGAAGAGGCTTGGATGGTGGTAAAGAAAATCTAGATTCTAGTCTGGACTCCGCCACCAAATAGCTAAGTAATCTCAAGCAAATAAATCACTTAGCCTTTCTGATCCTCAGTTTACTCATCTGTGAAATGAGGCAGTGAAACTAGATGGTCTCCAAGGTCCCTGCCAACTCAAAAAGTTTCTAGCCTTTGAAGAAAGAAAGAGGAAATATTTTTTTTGACCAGGTGCTTTATATACTGTAAGGTATAAAGCAGCTTGAGGTCATCAGAAAAGATGCTGTTTTCTTGGTGCATGTTGCTTTGTTAAGAAAAGATGTGGCAGGATCCTCATTCCCCTTTCTACTCCTTTTCCCCCTCTTCCAGTCTCTGAAAGAAGTGTGTCTGTCTCAAACCTTTATTCCCTTAGCTTTTCCATCTTCCTACTCTTCATTTTCAATTTCTCCTTCACTCTCCCTCCTCCTTTTTTCTTTATTTCTCCACAACCCAACTCTATTCTTAAAATCCTTACGTTCAGACACTTGGGTGGTGGGCTAGCCTCAAGGAGCCATTTTTTTTTCCTTTGGTTCCCTCAGAGTTCTGCCCACCTTGCCAAAAGTGACTTGGTAGCAGACCTACGTATTGTTTAGATGGAAGAAAACAGAGTTGAAAGGCCCTTTGGCATTTCTGTTCCTTCCTCAGGATAATATGGCTTCAGAGGTCAGGTTGCTACTTTATTTGAGAAGAGCTTTCAGTCTCTATGTTGCAATGATCACCCAGGAATAACAATTTCTCAATAAGGCCAAGCACTGGAAATTAGATCAGTTGTGCTCCTTTTATATTTAATAGATTTTCCTTTCTCTTTGCTCCCTGAGAGAGGAAGTAGGTCCCAGGACAGTTATTATAGTCTTGTCCTGATGACCGTTTGAAAGCTGTTCCTTATACCTTGTTCTTAAGAGTAAGAAGAGCAAGAAAGGGGGCTTGGACTGATTGATGGGCTTTGTGCTCAGACATCAGGGGCTTCTACTTCTGGGGAGGCATTGTTGTCTCAGTTGGGACTGACTCAGAAGGAAGGAGGTCCTAAACTGCCTTCTGGTGCTGACTGGGGCCCAACTCAAACATCCCCCCTGCACCTTCAGAAGCTTTGTGGTGTCCACAGCTGAAATTTAAACAAGCAATGCTCATGGTATTAGTTATGGCCACTTGTACTCGGTTAATTTTATAATGGCTTCTGAAATTTATAAAATCACATATTAGCATTATCTTAATTTCAGAAATAAAGCCAATTTGCATGTGATTTAAGAAAAGAGCTGTGTTATAAGTAGAAGCTTATTTGTTACATTGCAAAAGACCATTTGTTGTCAAACTGCTTTATAATAGAAAGTACCTCAGTATGGAGACTAAACCGAGTGCTTGTTTGTGTGACAGTAATCTTTTTTATATTTCCATAACGATGTGTTTCTTACAGAAGTCCAGAAAGAAGCAGCTTGGATGACTGTGGGGAGAGAGATGAAAAATTATCCAAGTCTATCAGTTTTACCCGTGAATCAGTTAATCGGATTTCAGAAACAGAGTCAGTCGATGGAAATCTACCAAAAGCGGTTAGTATGTGATACCCCTTTTAAAATATAACTGATGCTGCCCTGTGTTAATCAGAATATAAGGTCAAATAAGAATACAGTATACAGAATGTTTAAAACTTAAGACGTCAGGCTGCTCCTTTATTTTGGGAGAAGAGTTTCAAGTCTCTAAGTAGCAGAGGTTAAGATAGAGAAGTTCATAATTAGCAGAATTTTTCCCAGAGTAGGGAGTATTTGTGGTGGAATCCGTTTTGAAAGGGGAGTTGGGAACCCTGCACAGCATGCTTGAGTAACAGTAGGTGCTTCTTAAGCTGACTACTAAAGCAGGCACACCCAGTTAATTACTGGGTTTCATAGTTACTTAGTTAGTTTCTTCCTTTATTTTTTCAAGTATCATTATAAGCCCACTGATTTTTTAAAAATTTCACTGAGTTTCTATCACTTGGAGTCTTTTTTTTTTTTTTTTTTTAATACACAGCTGGTCCCTTCTGAGACCTTTCAGATTGGGTTCTTTGCCCTTTTGAAGTGATCAATTATTTTTGATCGCTTCCTTTCTTTCTGGTACAAGAACGTGTCCCAGGCAAATTTTGTATACTTTCTGTCCTAGACTTCGTGTCAGCCATTTTCCGAATGAGCCATAGTTCTTAGTGAAGAACGGTGTTTAGAGACTGCGTCTGAGTGCTAAGGTTGCGTCTACTATAGAGGTGTTAGTTACGGCCACTTGTGCTTGGTTAATTTTATAATGGTGTCTGAAATTTATAAAATCACATATTAGCATTATCTTAATTTCAGAAATAAAGCCAATTTGCATGTGATTTAAGAAAAGAGCAACCCAGAAAGTATATCTATGCCATTCCCAGAAAGTATAGATAGCTTCATATAGTGAATTTGTTCTGATTAGGGATGCAAGGTTGAGGCTAAACCTGAATTCTTGATTTACAGCAGAGCATCAGCTTTGAATCCTGCCTCTTGTCATTTGCTAAATGACTTTAAATAAGTTGACTTAATTACTTAACTTTTCTGTGCTTTTGTTTTCTCAACCCCTAGATGATGAGGACAATAATATCCCATAGGGGTATTTATAAAGATTGCATGAATTAATATATGTGAAAGTGCTTTGGACAGTCCCTAATATACATTAAGTATTCAGTAACCATAAGGTGTTACAATTGACCGTGAATCTGTGTGTCGTCGACAGGGGACCTTTTCTACCTTCTCCCACAGAGCTCCTGGCATCTCCGATGAATAAACGTTTGGAAAACATTGAAACAGACTGTATTTATATGAAAGCCTGCCAAGTTATCAGCCTGTTTCAGGCATCTGTCATGAATTTATTTTGGTCTGCTTTTGTGTTGTGGGTTTCTTGCAAAACTGACCCATCTAGAGACCCTGAGGAACTTCCTACTGGTGTAAGGGAGGTGATTTTCTTTGTGTGTGTTCACTGCGAAAATCACACAACTCAGTTTTGGGGAGGTAACAGGACAGGGGAATTGCTGTAGTCTTCTCATCCTTTTACAAAAGTCTGACGTTGAGGACAGGAGCCTCAGAACTAATCTTATTTGGGTCTTTCCTATAGCCTCCTTAACAATGTCTCCTCTACCTCCTCTTGGAAGAGTTAACCCATTGGTTCTTGCTTCTAGTTTTGTCCCTAAAGGAGGTCATGTTTTTTTCTTTAAGGAAAGGGAAGGGAATGCAGAGGAATAGTCTAATGTTTTAAGATTGATTATACATTCATTGATATTTAGTATAGATTTTTGCAGGTTATGGAATACACTATAGAAGTTTGGTCCTTTTTTACCTGTTGCATGCAAGAGCAGTATGGTGAGATTCTCAGATGTCAACAAATATCATGTCACTTTATTTCATTTTTACTTCCAACAAAATTAGAAATAACAGTGTCAGAAATAACATTTTTCCAAGGCAAAAATAGATTTTTCTTAAGTTATAAAATTAATACTCTGTTAAAATTCAGGAAATACAGAAAAGTATACAAAGAAGTAAAAATTGTCCAGATGCTAACTACTTAAAGAGAGTGACTGTTACTTTTTCCTATAAGTATCTATCTATATTCTTTATAATAGGAATTATATCTTAATTAGACAACAGAAGTGTGTGTGGAAACTTACTCTACTTAGCATCTGTTAAAGACACACCGGATCAAATAAATAAACATGATACTTTGTAGTATGGAATTCCCAAATAAATTGAGTCTTGATTTTAGCAGTAACCTAAGCTTGAAGAATCAGTCCTCTTACTAGGATAGTCTACTCCTTTCATATGTTGTGTCCTGAGTCCCAGTTGCTACTCTGCTTTCCGAGTGCCCAATGGAAACCTGCGTCCTCCCTGGTGCTTCTGCTGCGCAGTGCTGCTCTGAGGTCTCATGGGTAGGAAGTGCAGGGACTGTATCTATGCTTTTTGCTCTCTTTCATCTACATAGACACAGACAGTGCAAGAAGTACTTTGCTGTAAAGTTTATATTTTTTTACACTGTTCTATTAAGCCTAATTTTAGTACTATTCTACTTGAATACTAATAGCAATAGCATTCATACTTTAATGGCTAATAAGAAATGACATATCTTTATTAAACCATTCCCAGAAAGCGTAGATAGCTTTATATAGTGAATATATTTTAATGCCCAATTCCTTAGTCCCTTAACAGAAAGGACAATTGTGTTATGAGTTTGCAGTGAAATTAATTTTCCCTTTTAATCTTCTCTTCCCTACTGTACCCTTATGTGACTTTTATCTCTCTATTTTCTTTCTCCTTTAGTTACTGGTCTTGACAGATGAGTGAGTTTTCTTCTTTGAGATGATGGGGCAGGTATTGTCTGGGGAAACTAACCGGGCTTTTTACTCCTCTCCTTTGCCCACCCCAAAGAACCGAATGTTCCATTATTTTGCCCTCTGCCTCCTGTCCCTTCTGCTTAAAGTGATTCACGTGATGTTCATTTTTTGTGAGTTCTTTTTATATGATGTTCTTTATAAGTTTATTGTTTATTTCTGTTTAAGAAGATGACTTTAGAATGATATATAATTTACCAGTTTTTTAATGGACTGAATTGCAAATGTGACGCAAACATAAGAAACACATTTTTTGAAGAGCAGTTATTTCAGTGTCTTCATTATTAAAGACCTCACTGTAAAATCTAAGCCTAAATATTTTTTTTTAACTGGATTGTTTGCCTTTTAGGAGTCAGGGAAAGAGGAAGCCCAAAGTGAGAAACAGATCAAAAAGAGTCCTTTACTAACCTCAGAAAAGAGATTAAGTAGAGTGCCATCAAAATCACTCGACTTGAATAAAAATGAGTATCTTTCTCTGGACAAAAGCAGCACTTCAGATTCTGTTGATGAAGGTAAAGAATTTCCTATAAATTTTAATAAAATTTCAATTATGTCTTTTAATGTTAATCTTTGTATTAGGTGTGTGCAGATTGGAATTTAGTTGTTGCATTAGATACAGTCTCACTCTATAAAGAACCAAAAGAGGATGGCAGTTAATAAAATACAGGGGGAAGAAGCTACTAAGTCTAACTGATTGAGCTCCACTTTCCAGAAGCCTTGATTTTGAAAATATCCATCACATTTAACTTTTAAAATCCCAAGCCTAAGTCAGTAGAGATGGAGCAGCAATGGAAAAGCACATTTTAATAAAATTTGTTACATTATAATTATACCCTCTTTTAACCACCAAAAATAAGAGAGAGATAGAGATGCAAAGTAGAGAATAAAAATAAAAAGCAGTTGCTTAAACGAACTGTAGTAAATGATGTTCTCTCTTCTTTCTCTAAGTTAGTACCAATAACCTGGGGCTTATCATACTTATTAAGTGGGCATTTTAAGGAATCTGTTTTTAAAACTGTAAGCCAGGGGATTATGGAGGCATTAGGAAGGATTCCAGGTAGTGGCTGCTATCAAGTGTCAGGAACTGCAACAATGTCTGGATTTTTTCCGTACCTGCTTTCCTACCAGCAGTGCTCAATACTACTGGGGACATCACAGTGGGTTGGGTCTGTAGGACATGATGTATGCACTAGCCTAGTTGCTGTTCAAGTTAAACCTGGTTTTGAGAACCCCTGAAGTCTTTATTAGCATGAAAACCAGGTCCATGAAAATCCAAACTAAATCCCAGTCAAATCCTAATCCAGTCCAAATCAAGTTTAAATCTAAAGTCAAATCCAAATTCAATCAACCAAGTCCAAGTCCACGAAAACCCAATCCAAATCAGGTTAGACCTTGGTTTGGGAACACTGAAATATCTTTAATAAAAATTCATGCTCTTAAAAACAAATAAAAATCCACTATTTCCTAGAAATCACAGGCTGCTTTAAGAAGACAGTTGTTGAGTTCTTTTGAAAAGATAGTCAAGAGGAAGTTTTTAAAATGGACTGAGTCCCGTAAATGACTAAACTCTTAGTGTTCTTACCATTCATGCTTTGGTAGACAGCGGGTATGAATTAGTTATCCCCTGGCCGCCTGAACCTCTGACTTTAGGAAGATCTACTCTGGCACCCAGTGGCCAGATAGGTAAGTGACGCCAAGCAAGGATTCTTTTACTCACCTGCTTTTATAATAGTGCTTCAAAAGTATTTAGTTTCTTATTGAGCTCCTATACAATTAACATTAATGATAAGTTACATAAAGGATAACATTAAAACTCATATAAGCTGTGTTCATATCTAGAAATAAAGAAAGAACCACAGTGGTATAGTTGCTGTATTGTATGTGAGCCCGATCACATTTTGCCCCTTGCTGGCGCTCCTTTAAAGATACCACTTGGCGTTACAGAAGTAAGGCCTTCCACATGACATTCAGCCTCCTGTGTGTTTGTGCAGGCTTTTTTTAAGGTGTATGGGATGATTTTTTTTTATTAGATTATCATTGGATAACCAATCAAGTACTCCTATTGCTTTCCCTAAGCAAGTTACAAAATCTTGGGCTTGTCACACATATTAAGTGGGTTTTAAATGAACCTATTTTTTTTGCTTTTGAAACTTGCGAGGTTATGAGGATGCTTGAAGTCCATGAACTGGGGAGATGATGGGAAAGGTCAAAAGGAGTAAACCATCCTAAGAAATTTGGAAATGTGTGTGGCGATTTACAGGCAGCTAGGCAGATGGCAGATTACTTTAAACCAAACCACACTTTATTTAAAATGATAGTGTTTTGATCTACTCTTGTGAGCAGGTTGAGTTAGAAAATGAGAGGATTTCTTTTCTATCACATACAGCCTATAATCTTTGGGAGGGATGCACAGGACTATCTTGTTACAGAGAGTCCTGTAAGAGGAATCAACAGAGCAGCATATCATGAAATACCTCATGGAGGGACCCCTGAAATAACTTCTAGCACAGTCCCTTTGATGTGGAGTTTAACTGGAACCCAGATATGGAAAGTCTAGAATCTTTCCATAAAAAAAGGCTCCTTTTTTTAATGCTCTTATTCTACACCAGGCATTACAACCCATCAATGGGTGATGGGTGCTCTTTTTAGGGATATTTCTGTACTTCAGGAAATGGGTTCTGGATTTCCAGCCGCTGAACAAAATGCTAAGCTTTGTGTTTTAATCTGTTAAACCATATTGCTAACTTAAAACTTTGATATAATAATTCACAGAAAAAAGCTGCAGGACTTTGTTTCTCCAGAGCAGCAATTTTCAGCCGGTCTGCCACAAGAATTTTTAAAATATGCCATACCTGACCTCTTTTCCCTTAGATTTTCAAAATAAAAAATGACAACAGCCAACACAACAATAGCTGTCCAGTGTGAGTGAATAAAAATTATACCTATTTTTTTTTGTCAGATTGGGAAAAAATATATTTTTTGACGTGCCGCAGAATTTTAGTAATTAGTTTATGTGTGCTGTGAGATGAAAATGGTTGAAAATTGTCACTCTCGAGGATTGTTGTTGATAGACTTCCTCTGCTTACTATTTACCATTTTTGGGGAGGAGTTCAGAGCATCTGAGAAGATGCTGGGAGTTTCCTCCCAAGTGGAGATGAGGTAACACAATGTATCCACATCCTCAAGTACAAGGAAATTATGGTTGTGTTTTCAAGGATTTATATTTCTGTCACTATCAGGATTTACTTCTTTCCCATGCTTTGCTTTGTCATGCCATGGATAGTCTGTGAAGCATCTGCCCCAGGAGGTAGAGCCGTGAGTGGAAGTTGACAAACTAGCTCATGGCATGAGACATCTGGCCTGTGACATGTGATAAAAGTTAAATTTAGTTTTGTATAGCTGGGGTGAGAACTCAGTGTGACAGGGTTTCCTAAGCAAAGTGACGTATAGAAAGAATGTAGGCTAAGTTAGGCAAAAATTAAGTGGGGGGTGGTGGGTAGGAATGCATAAAAATAGTAAAATTGTAATCCATGACCTACAGCTGACAGAACAAGATGAATAAGAGGCACAGCCATGCAGAGAGAACCAGAAGTCAGAATATCAATTGATGCTTATTAATTAACAGATGTGAGGGCAAGTAGACCTCTGGGGGAAGCCAGAGGAAAAAAAGGCCTTGAGATAGTCTAGCAGGAAGAAGGTAACTCAACATTTACTTGGTATCTCTAAATTCTGTGCAACTGTATTAAAGTAGAGAGACACAAATCAGTTAATGAGAAAAAAACAATAGTTGAGATGAAGGCAGAGCTGGAAGAGTTTTTCTGATTCCTAGCCCTGTCTTTTATTTCCCAGACTGCTTCCCGTGGTGTAATATTGACAGATGCTCTAAACAGATTAATTCTTAAAGCTTGAGTTCTGAAATATGGGGAGCTTTAGGTCACGGTGTTCCATTCTGTATTGATGGGGCATAATCCTTGAAATAATAAATAACCCCAGTCCTGAAATGATTAAAATTTTGTATTGCTTTCCTCTATTTCCTATACTTGACCTGGCTCTAATTCCTAGCTGCCTTTTCTTCTCGATTCTTCTAAGTTAAATTTATGGAAGTATAAAATAGAGGTTAAGTTTGTGTGCTTTGGAGCTGGAGTGAATTCAAATTCTAATTTATCACTCACTAGCAGGGGAGCTTTGTTGAGTCTCTCAGTACCTCAGTTTGTTCCTCTACCTGCATAATGGAAATGATAATGACACCACTTATCTCACAGGATTGCTGTGAGGATGAGTGAATACTTGTAAGGTTCTTAGCACAACGCATGACATATAGTAATCACCATACAAACATGGGCTATTTTACATGATGTTTCCTAGGAATATGAGGAGAGGTGAGCAGATTCTGCTCCTTCCTTTGCTGCCAGTAGTTTTCAACCTCATTATCATTATCAGGGTCCCAGAAAAATGTAATTTTTTTCTGTGTATTATACTTTTCAGAAGGATATCTTCTTTTAATAGGTGGTATTAAGAAAAGGTTATGAACACAATGATACTTGACTCGGGGGAATCAGTGGCTAGCAAGTTAGTAGATATTAGGTAGATATTAGGACCATTGGTGACGCCATGTTTGCTGAATGTATGAGCTTTCAGAAATAGGACCTGCTAAGTGCTGTGGTAGATACCATTCTATGCATCTCAGTCTTGCCCTTGTCACCTTCGAATTATTCTTTTGAGCGCTATATTATGGGAATTCGATATCGCTCAGGTTAAATATTTATTTTTTAGGCATTGACAACTGGAATATTGATCATTATAGTTTTAACTATATACTCTTATGTATAGTTATACATCATACATATGTATATAACACCAATTTAGAGTTTTAATGCTGTCTTGTATGTGCTGACCACAGTATCACATTTAAAAACTGTTTTGTATTGTATCACAAACAAGCAAATGAAACAAAACCTTGAAATGATCTCTTCTTACTTTCTTCCCTTTGCTTCTTTTTTCCCCCCAGAAAATATTTCTGATAAAGACCTTCATGGAAGACTTTATATCAACCGTGTTTTTCACATCAGTGCTGAGAAAATGTTTGAATTGCTCTTCACCAGTTCACGTTTTATGCAGAGATTTACCAATTCTAGAAACATAATAGGTTGGTGCTTGTGTTGTTATCTAATGATAAATTTGGGAGGATTTTATTATCTTCAGAGGGTTGAGCCTATATCAATTGATTAATGTCAGGGAGAAAAATTAGACAGGTTTTGATTTTATTTTGATGATATATAAACTAGTATTTAAGTGTTTTGATTAAATTCACCTGTAAACAATATAGTTGTTCAATTGGTCAGATCCTACCTACATTTAAGACCCTTTGAAAACTAAAACTCACTTTATTAATCAATGTAGCAGTTCAATTTTGTTAAACCCCATTTTAAAGGGGTGCATTGTGGAACAGCTGGAAGCTGGTCAAGTGTAAATAGGTACAATCATTCAGGAATATGGTTTGGCAAAAGCTACTAAAGATGATCATATGCATTTTTTCTGAGTCAACAATTCTACTCTTAGTCATATATCTCTCAGAAATGGGTACATGTGTACTCTGAATCACATGTACTATTATGTTCATAGCAGTGTTGTTTATAATGCCACAAAATTCAAAAAAAGCCCTAATATCGACCAGTTCTAGTTACAAAAACATAATTGTGTATTGTTTGTAGTAGAGTAGCAATTTCTAACTGATAGCTATTAATTGAATTTTGTGACTATATTAAGAATTTCATTGTCAAAAAAATGATTTTTTTCCTGTTCTTTCCATTTTAAAAAAGTGGGATATCAGAGGTATATGTCTTCTCTTTCACTTAGCTTATATTTAACTTATTATATCTGTTCTGAATCTATTTTCTGTTTTCTTACTATTTATGCCTACCTGAAGAACTTGATATTTCAGAAGAGCTAGATACATTAATTCTCTTAATTTTCTAAGATGACGCACCACTGTTTTTATTCTGAAAAGGTTCATGAGGAACCAGCATTTTATCCATAAATGAAGTTTGTTTTTTGAATCATAACTGCATTTAGTGTCTGACTTCACATCTCTCTTCAGTATGGATGAATATATGTGCTATCTGATGTTATAAGTGGCTTTGGGAAGCAAAGGCTTCTGGCTAATTCTAAATCTAAATAGTTATAGATATATTGCTATTTAGAGCTAGAATCACTCAGGTTTCCTCCAAAAGAGATAATCTATTTATGACTGCACACCATTATGCTATCTTCTACAGTTGTTACTTGGTAATCAAAGTTACATTTCTTTTTTAACTTATTGATTTTTAGAGAGAAAGAGGAAAGGAGAGAAAGAAACATTGATTTGTTGTTCCACTTACTTATGCATTCATTGTTTGATTATTGTATGTGCCCTGTCTGGGGATTGAGCCCACAACCTTGGTGTATTGGGACAATGCTGTAAACAACTGGACTATCCAGCCAGGGCAAAGTTATATGTCCTGATAATGGGTTTCAAAGGCTTCTTTTAAAAAATATTACAAATTTAATGAAAAAATGTTCATAGTCAATTATTTGTAGAGTTAATCTAATTCAGCACTAAAATGGCTACAACTGGATTTAATTTTTTTTTTTAAATTAGGGAGCCTTTAAGTATTCTTTTAAGTCTTTGTTTATGGTTGTATCACTACTTTTGTATTTTAAAGCTCAGTTTTGTCTTTTTATTCAGCTTTTTACCTTGAAAAACTGTAAATCTTCAGAAAAGTTGCATGAATAGTGAAATAAAAGGCATACACCTATCACCTAGATTTACCAACTTTTTATTGTGGTAAAATGTATATAAGACTTACATTTTAACCATTTTAAAGTATATGATTCAGGGTCATTAAGTGCGTTCACACTGCCGTGCAGCCATCAGCACCACCCCGCTCCAGGACTGCTTCATCTCCCCAAACCGAAACTCTGTGCCTGTCACAATAGCTGCCCATTTCCCCTCCTCCCAGCTCCTGATGATCAGCATGCTACTTTCTCCCTCTTTTAATTTGACTACGCTAGGTACCTCCTGTAAGTGGAATCATACTATATTTGACCCTTTGTGACCGCTTATTTCACTTACTATAATGTCTTCAGGGTTTATCCATGTTTTAGCATGTGTCAGAATTTCATTCCTTTTTAAGGCTGAGTAACATTCCATTGTATGTATATGCCACATTTTGTTTATCCATTCATATATTGATGGAGTTTTGAGTTGTTTCCACTTTTCAGTTATTGTCAATAATGCTGTTGTGAACATTGATGTACAACTATCTGTTTGAGTCCCTGTTTTTAATTCCTTTGGGTATAACCTAAATATGGAATCACTGAATCATAAAGTAATTCTATGTTTAATTTTTTGAGGAACTGACACATTGTTTTCCTCAGAGGCGACATCATTTTATATTTCCACCAGTAATGTAAAGAGGTTCCAATTTCTCCACTTCCTCACCAACTTGTTATTTTCATTTTTTTGTGATAATAACCATTCTAATGGGTGTAAAGATTCACCAGTTTTAAAACTTGATTATATCAAAGGAATCTTGAAGTGGTTGTTCTGAAACTCCTGATTTGTATTACTTCAACTTAATCTATCAAAATGGCTTTCATGCCTTTTTTGTATGCCATTGCCATTTTTCTTAAAATTTTGTCTCCAATTTTTGATACTATGATGAGCTTTACTCAGGTATGGGGGGGCTTGACTATTCAAGGATGTTGTTAATTAGATGGTATAATGGCACATGATATTCAGTAGGTTTCTTGGTAACATTGGTGAAAACACAAATGGAAGACACTTTTCTTTTATCCTTGTTGATTGTTGCTTTGTTGAATAGTATGCAATTCAGCAGAATTCAAAAATATCTTTAAATTTTATTGCTGGTTCACAATGGATTATTTGTATAATTTTTCTGAAACAGGCTGACATACCATCAAAGTAACCTTTGAAAGTATTTTAGAATTTTATATCTTTCATGTAAATAAGTCATTTTAACAAATTCTGGATGATGCATTCCATGGCTTGTGATATTGCTTTTTAAATTTAGTTGTAAGATTTTTCCAGATACTCAAAAGGTAGCTTCAGGATCCCTCATTAAATCCCTAGACCTAGCTGTATGAAAGAAATTGCATAAAGCTGAGTAGATCATAATACCTGGCTTCATTCCTTTGATGATAGGTAATGGGTTAGATAAAGACTCCTACATTTTAGTATGTTGATGAGTAGCAGCCAGATACACTAATTGCCCAAGTCCATTTGTGCTAACAGCATGAGATGATTGAGTCATATCTCTGAGTAGAGTTCATGATGCTCTTATCTATACTCGCTGAGTCTTTGGCTTGTAAAATGACCTTTGCTGTGTAATGCAATGTTCTAAAGATATATTTCTGTTCAAAGTGTGTCTGTACTCACTGTGTTGTTGCTTAGCAAATAAAAGAGACATTTGACCAAGGTCTTGCTATAACTAGAGAGATTATCCTATAGCTTGTGCTATAGAGGTTATATAATTATTTATATACCATCACTCCCTCCTTAATTAAAGATTTCAGCAGATAAGCCATTAACATTATATGATTTCTCATTGATGCGATTTCTCCATAACCAAGGATCAAGACCACGTTGTTGCATAATGACATGTCTTTCAAGGTTTTGTCCTCAATCATGGGAATGCTGAAGTGTTGTTCTGTCTGTTTGATAAGGCTGATGCCATTACTTCTCTTCATAGGCACTGGGGACTTTAAAAAGAAACCTACAGATGAACCAACTTTTATCTTCTAAAGAAAAGTAAAAAGTGTATTAATAGGCAACAATTTAGAAGTAAATAGATCAGAGATGGGGGATATGTCAAATATAAGAAGAGTGCCTAATATTTAATTTTATTTTTGGAATGGGCAAAAATAAAAATTTAAAGTATTCAAAAACTACTTCTTTGATTCCACTTCAAAACATACCTTTCAGATTTCTAGAACTAACTCATTTTATGTTTGCTATGATTAGATGTTGTATCTACGCCTTGGAATGTGGAACCTGGAGGTGATCAACTGAGAACCATGACCTACACTATAATTCTTAATAATCCACTTACTGGGAAATCCACTGCTGCCACTGAAAAGCAGGTACGTCTGCCGTGTCAGAATCTTAGAAGAATCATTCATGTGGGAAGAGAGAAGATACCTGTCTGAGTCACCAATTTACAGAACAATTTCATCAAATAAATGGCAAAAAAAAAAAAATGGAAGGAGAAACTGTTACAGGTTAAAAGAGACTCAAGAAGCATATCAACCATATATTCACAAGATTTAAGGAAGTGTTACTTTGTGTGTGTGTAATGGTATTGTAGCTATATTTTGAAGAAAAGAATATTTATCTTTGAAAGAGACATACCGAAGAATTTATGAAGAGATATACTTAGGTGTTTATGTATGAAATTCTATTCATGTCTGGGATGTCCTTTAAAAGTAGTCTAGCCAGGCAGAGGATTGTTGTGGGGGGGGGGGAAGTGGGAGGGAGGGAACATGGGAATGGGGTACAGATGAGACAGGACTAGGCAGGAGTTAATGTTGTTGAAGCTGGCTGATAAGCTTATGAGGGTTCATTATACTTCATTTCTACTCCTATGTACGTTTGAACCTTTAAAAAAATAATAAATGGTTTTAAATAGAATGCTATGGGAATTTGATTTGCAGAATCATGTCAAGAGTTTGGGTCAAATAACTAGATGGCTGCTGTGACATATGGGGAAGAGATTATAAGAATTTTAATGCTTTACTCTGTGCCAGTGTGGTGCTGTTTCATAGTGGAATTTGTGTTTGGCCAGTTTGTATTGAAGTATAGCGTATCAGTTGTGCAAATAATTTGAAAATATCTCTTAACATCTGAACTAATTATGCTATTGTAATACTGTCCATCAGTGTTAAAAAGGACCTACACTTTTTTTTCCAAAATATTGTCAGACAGTTAAGAAAAATTTGGTGTTTTGGTATTAGAGCTTATTTGATAACCTTGGAGCATAAGTATAAAAGGCATGATTACAATAAGCAAGGTTTGCCCAGTGCCACTTCAAATCCTATTTAGGAAAAGTAGTGTTTTTATTTTTTAAATTTTTTTATTAGGATATATTTTTTTATTTATAAATCATGTTTATTCTATTACAGTTGTCTCAATTTTTACCCCTTTACCCCCCTCCACCCATCCCACCCCCATGTCCATGGTCCATGGGTGATTCATACACGTTCTTTGTCTAGTCCCTTCCCCTTCTTTCCACCGTTGTCCTCTTTCCCCCTCCGTTCTGGTCACTTTCAGGCTGCTCCATGTTTCTGTGCCTGTGGTTTATTTTGCTTATTAGTTTATTTTGTTGAATAGAGTCCACTTATAGGTGAGATCATGCGGTATTTGTTTTTTATCAACTGGCTTATTTCACTTAGCTTCATATTCTCCAGTTCCATCCGTGTTGTCACAAAAAGTAGGAGTTCCATCCCGCTCTTTTTCTTTCTTTCTTAAATGCAGATAGATTTATTTTTTTAAATGTCAAAGTTAATTATAAAATATTTAAAAAATTTAAAACCATTATAAAGTCTCAGCAATTAAACTAACATTACACCTGCACAGAAATAATCAATTAGATCTATGAAATATAATGAGCATTCTAGAGACAAATGTATATATCTAACAATGGAATATATGATTAAATTGATATTTCAAGTCAATGGGGAAAATAATGTTTATTCAACAAATAAGGTGCATAGACAACTATTACTTGAAATGAAACAAATATAAAGCCCTATTTCACACATTATACAAGAAATATTCAGGTGAGTTAAAAATCAATATGTAGAATCTAAGGAGTTTTAGGAGAAAATAGAACTAATATTTTTCATGACCTGAAGTAAAATATTCAAACCCAGAAGCTATAAAGTAAATATTGACAATATGACTCTATTAACCATTTAACTATATAGTAATATACATATAAAAAAAGTTAAAGGACAAGGAATAGAATAGAAAAGTATTTGCAACACATCTAAAACATGGTTAATAGGTTTTTTGTTTTTTTGTTTTTTAGGGAAAAAAGTTCTACAAACCAAAAATCAATAAATGGATAAAGAACACCAAAAAGTCATTTAAAGCTTTAAAAAAAAAAAAGAAATAGGCAAGAAATATACTAAAACAGGTTTAGTTTCAACAAACAGTAAAGGAATTAAAATAACATCATTGTCACAATCAGATTAATGAGTATTAAAAATATTGGTAATGTCAAGTATTGGCAACTCTGAAAGGAACTGGGTATTCATAGAAACTTTTTCTTCATCTTAAAGCAGTCCCTTTAGCATATTTTGCAGTGCTGGTTTGGTGAAGTTGTAGTCTTTTAGCCTTCTTTTGTCTGGGAAACTCCTTATTTCGCCTTCCACTTTCATTGAGAGCCTTGCTGGGCAAAGCAGTCTTGGTTGCAGGCCTTTGCTTTTCATGACTTGGAATATTTCTTGTCAGTCCCTTCTGGCTTGCAGGGTTTCTGTTCAGAAGTCAGCTGCTAGCCGTATGGGGGCTCGCTTATATGTTACTGCCTCTTTCTCCCTTGCTTGCATTAGGATTCTCTGTTTGTCTTTGCTATTTGCCATTTTAATGATGGTGTGTCTTGGGAGTGGGCCTCACTGGGTTCCTCTTGAGTGGGACACTCTGTGCTTCCTGGACTTGTGTCACTTTTTCTCTCCTCCAATGAGGGAAGTTTTCCATCATGACTTTTTCAAACAGGTCCTCTATGCCTTCCTCATCCTCTTCTCCTTCTGGTATCCCTATTATATGGATATTATTACATCTCAGGTTGTCCTGCATTTCCCTAAATGCCTCTTCATTCTTTTTGAGTCCTTTTTCATTTTCTTGTTCTCTCTGGGAGCTGTTTTCTACCTTGTCCTCCAGCTCGCTGATTCGGTCCTCAGCTTCATCTAGCCTGCTTTTGATTCCTTCCACTGTGTTCTTCAATTCAGAAATTGTATTCTTCATTTCCTCTTGTCCCTTATTGATCGTTTCTATGTCCTTTTTCATGCTGATATAGTTTGCAGTAAGTTCCTTGTACTTTCCCTGTAGTTTTTGGTAATTCTCTCTGAGCTCACTGAGCTCATTGAGCTTCCTTAGAACCGTTGCTTGGAACTCAATATCTGATAGTTTACTTGCCTCTATTTCATTTAGTTCTCTTTCTGGGGATTGCTCCTTTCCCTTCGAGTGGGGCATATTTCTTTGTCTCCCCATTATTTGTGAGACTCTTCTCTTTTGCTTCTGCTTCTTAAGTTGATCTGTCTTGATTTCTTGACTTCGTGGTGTGAACTTCTGTGGTTGGAGACTGCTGTTTTTACTGTCTGGATCTGCCTCTGATGTTAGATGTTGACCCCGTCTGACCTTAGCCAGTCTGTTCAAGACTTCCAGTAAGCTACTGTTTGTGGCTGTCTCCTTCAGCTGTTAATCTATTCACTCTGCACTCAGCAGGCTGCCTTAGACAGCTCAGGGTGGGGCAGATTCCCTCCTGGGGGCAGGGTTATTGGGTCCTCTCATGCTGCTGCGTATGCGGGGGAGAGTCCACACTGGGATCCTGCCGGCTACTCTCTCCGTTCTCTCCTCAAAGCCTCCATCCCCAGTCTGTCTTCAAGTGTCTCCAGACCTCTCTGCTCCCGCTTTAGCCAGGGATCTACCATCTGTGGCTGTCACCCTGTACTCAGCAGGCAGCTCAGGCAGCACAGGGCGGGGTGGAATCCCTCCTGGGGGCAGGGCTGTTGTGTCCTTTGATGCTGGTGCCAGTGAGGGGGCATGGTCTCTGCCTGAGCAGGACGGCTGCTGCTGCATGGGGGATGAGTCAGCACCGAGATCCTGCGGGCTACTCTCAGTTCTCTCCCCAAAGCCTCCTTCCCTAGTCTCTCCTCAGGTGTCTCTAGCCCACTCTGCCCCCATCTTTGCTGGAGACCGCGGTAAGTGGCTGCAAACAGAAATCCTGTGTTGGTCCTTTAGAAGGCTCTTTGCGTCTCCAGCCGCCTGTCTCTGGCAGAGAGCAACCCTGCCGCTTTTCGCTGCTGGTTGTTTTCTGTGTACTCTTTGGGCTCTGGTGCTGTGAGCTAGAGATCAGTGTGACTTCCATTCACTCCTCCGCCATCTTGATCTCCAGAAAAGTAGTGTTTTGTTTGTTTGCCTGCTTCCTTCACTTATTTGGTGAAGGGTGGTTTTATTAAACCTTGATGAATTTTGGGGTGGAGTCCTTAATTTGTTCAAGTGATTTTTGAATTGTTTCCTAACAGGAACATTTAAAATTCTTTGTAAACCAATAATACACACAAGAGGCTATATGATTCCTTTCTCCTTCTCATGCCTCGGAGAATGATAATTATACTGTGAAATGACAGAGAGGCAGCAAATACCATTTCTGCAGGTCCCTTCTTTTCATTCATAGATAGTACAGCCAATGTGGAGGCTTTTTTGGCTTTGTACATAGGCTTCTCTTGTCTTTTGTAATATATGAGAAAGAATTCTAATGTATATGTTCTGAATTGGCAAGGAATTTGATATATTAAACATGTACGTGCAAAAAAATTTTATCTTATTTTGGCAGACACTGTATAAAGAAAGTCGGGAAGCACAATTTTATTTGGTAGACTCAGAAGTGCTGACGCACGATGTCCCCTACCATGACTACTTCTATACCCTGAACAGATACTACATCATTCCATCCTCTAAACAGAAATGCCGGCTGAGGTAAGCTCTGTAAAGGAGTGTTTTAGTGAGGATAGGCTAGATTATGATCTGATAACATAGTAGTAATTCTAAAATCTTAGCGATAGCTTTACACAACAAAGCTTTATTTTTTGTTCAAATTACACGTCCATTGTTGGTCAGCAGAGGGATGGGGTGCCCCCCTCAAGGCCTAAGCCAATGAAGGCGTTGACATCCTGGAGCTCCACGGTCCAGAATATGTGTTGTTTCAGTTGCTACAGGAAGAGAGAGCTGTAGAATTGTGCTCACAGTCCAGTGGCCAGAACCAGGCACCAATTTCTCTTTGATGGCAAGGGGGCTGGGAGTTCTTGAGAAGCACATTGTGAGCAGTAAATGACTTTGTTGCAATGGGAAGTAAGGAATGTTGGTGCTTTAAAGTTAGTGATGGGCCATCATATGCTTGGCCTAGTCTTAGCTAATGTAGTTATTTTCAGCTAATTTATGACCACTGGAGACTTTTTTACAAGGCAGGTAGAAAATTTATAATTTCTTTTGAGCCTTTCTTGCTACTTAAGGAAAAAAAAAAATCAGGGCTAGAGAAAGGAAAGAAAGAAAATGCCGGATATTTAGAAGGAAAATTTGATGAAATTATTAATACACAGTAATTTTTGAAAGAAGTCATTATCAGTGAACAAATTTTCTTTTATAATCTAAATGACTTTGAATCCTTTTGGCTCTCCACTGAATACAATCTTATATTTAATGGCAATGTTAATATAATTAAATTCTGTCCTTTAAATAAATATTATTCTATTAGAATTTCCACAGATTTGAAATATCGAAAACAGCCATGGGCCATTGTCAAATCTTTAATTGAGAAGAATTCCTGGAGTTCATTGGAAGACTATTTCAAACAGCTTGGTTTGTAAATTTCTTGATTTATCTATTTTTGTAAGGATAGCATTTATTAACAAAATGGACTAATTATTCATTTGGATCCATAGCAGAAACTGGTAGGTGATGTTGGAATGGTTCTCATTGAAGTAGTTGTAACTATCCCACTTAGAATTTCAAACTTTTAATTTTCATTGGTCTAACAAACACTTATATAATTCTTACTATAAGCCAGACATTGTTCTATGTGCTTTAGAATACTATATAACACAGGGTTATATTATAACCCTGTGAGGTAGGTACTGTTATTAATTTTTTCCATTTTACTGAACAAGAAATATTGAAACAGAGAATGAGGTTCAACGATTCGTCCAAGATCACAGGAGGTGTCACACTTGCTGACTGCAGGGAGGAGCCATGGAAGCTGACTACAGTGAGGGCCTACACAACTGGATCACACATATGCACCTGTGCTTGCTAATCTCTGGAGAGTCCTTGGGCCCACACTGTCCTTACCAACATAGCATTCTTGGTTTTAAGCAGGCCCACTAAGTAATGGTATTGTGTCCAAGTATGAATTTTGTGGAGGTGGCTACTAGACGGGGGAAAGTAATACAGTACTTATGTCTGGATATCCCTTAAAATATATACAAGAGAAAATATACCTACATGAACAAAATTAATTTTAGTTAAAGAAAAGCTGGTGGTCAGTCAAGTCTTGTAATTTCTCTATCATCCTCTAGTTTGTTGATTATTTATTTTCTTTCCTTGCTTTTCCCTCTTTGGTTATTTCATCATTAAACTCCTAATCAGGAGCAAAGAAAATGAAACTCAAAAATTAGTTTGGTCACTGGATAATGAACTTAAAAAAATCTGGTAAAAAGAAAGAGTGAAACAATTGACAAAAATGAAGTTTTTTAGGTTGTTTGCAAATTTTCTTTATTAGGGATTCCTTTTTTGCAAACCCTATTGTAAATTAGACCTATTATATGCTACTCCTTCCTTTGAAATTGACCATCGAATGCCATAATCTATCTTGGAAATCTTTCTAATGATCCAATATAAGCCTCTTGTTTCTAAACTTAAGTTGTTACATTAATATTTAATAATAGCACATGGCAAATTTGCTCTGATGATCCCATCATTTATTAATACAGTTCATTCTTCCTAGAACAATGAAGGCTTATTATGGGATCACTGTAGTCTCCAAAACTTTTCATTAAGAGTACAGTTTGAGTCTAGGCCATGAAACCTAAGTAACTGTTAAAGAAAATTTCCAAAGCTTAAAAAAACAAATGGAACACAAAACCACCACCAAATCCCCTGTATCTTATAGTTGAGGTTTCTCCACTGCCTAAAGATTTTTTTTTCCTTTTTAGAATCAGATTTGTTAACAGAAGAATCTATGTTAAATCAGTCTGTTGAAGAGCCTGGAAAACTTAGTGGCCTACGAAGGAGAAGGCGAACGTTCAACCGAACAGCAGAAACAGTTCCTAAACTTTCTTCTCAGCGTTCTTCTGGAGATGGGGGTTTAGATGCCAAAGGGGATATTACAGGTAGCTGTTATCTGGTAAACAGAGATGAAAGATTTTCGTTTACTTATATTAAGTAGAATATGTCTCTTTCGCAGTTGTAAAATGGCAGGCATGTGGTCAATAGAAGTATTTTACTGGGCCACATGCTATTTAAAAAATGGGACATTTTTGTATAAAAGCTCAGATCTGACAGCCCTGGACCCAAATACTTTCATAGCAACAGTCAGTTGGAGCTTAATAGTAGCTGCCTCATTAGACCACGTCCCCAGGCCGCCAGTCCCCATCATTGTTCCTGGCTGCTGGACACTTTGCTCATTAACTTTGTGCACAGAATTTTTAGACATTTCATTTCTATCCCTGAATGTACTAAAATGATTGTATGTTTTTAATCCTTATGTACTGTCAGGGCCAGCGTAGCAAAATTGCAAAAATGGAATTTGACTTTTATTATCCTCACTCTCAATTTTGAAGGCATCCTGCCTCCACTAACTGTTATTCACTCCCTTTTAGAACTGTAAAGCTGTGATACCTTCACACTCTTCTACATTAAAAAACTCTCTTCTAAGGCTTATTTCTTAACATGAATATATTTAAGCTTAATGGCTCTAATTTTGGGACTTAAAAGTATGGGCAATAGAAAATAGGTGACAATGACTTACAAAACTTTTTTAAGAAGGGAAATACTATACATAAACCTAGCTCAAATACTGTTTGAAGAAATGATGTATTGAATTGCATATTTAATTTTAGAGTAAAATTGATTGTTAATATAGGCCAAATTTGAGGACTAGTGTAAGTTTTCTTTTTGTAAATTTGATTCATATTACTCAGGATATCAGAAACAAACAAACAAAAAAAAAAAAGGTGCAGGGAATTCACCCTAAATCACTTTTTTCCTTACAAATAATTTTTTAAATTTCGAGTTATTTCAAATGAAATTAAAATTTTACCAGTTGTAATCACAGTCCTGATTCTAATGCAGCCTTTCTTTGTATGTGTGATCTGTAGGAAAGAAAAAAGAAACAGAAAGTTATAATACTGCCCTTATTGTGGTGATGAGTATTTTGTAAGTATCCGTTTTGAATGCTTATTTGGCTTGTGTTTTTACTTTTTAACAGTTTACAAAAGGATTTGAATACATTTGTATGTTATTGTGTAGAACTTAACCACTATTTGACCAGTTTGGACTTACTAAAACAGTAATTTTACAATATGTTCTTCAGTCTGATAGTTTTGATGTATGATTTTCAGAAAAATTATTAAATTTGAGGGGATACCAAGTACACATTCAATAAACGTTTTTATTTTTTAACTTATTTCTTCTATCATGGGTTTTTATGGGATATTCCATAAATTTAAAGGGAATATTTATATATGCAGGCTGATGAAATCCCAGTAATGCTATTTTACTCTTTTTGATTAGAACAGTAGCCTTACCCTTTCCTGCGCATAAGAATCACTTGCTAAAAATGCAGATTTCTCAGCCCCAGTTCCAGAGACTGAGTCAGTAGGTCTTGAATAGGGATCGGGAATCGGTATTTCAAAACACACTGTGCAGGTTATTCTGCTGAAGAGTGATCTGAGGATCACATGAAGAGAGATACTGAGCAGTTAGTCTGAATCTCATATTCTCTAGTAATACATTTAGCCAGTTATGTTTAGACTACTATTATCTACATGGCTCTATGTGAATGTTGGGAAAGTCTGTTAGATCCCATTGAATTGGTTCAGACTGGGTGATATATTCTGGGATTTTTTGGAATGAAGTTCTTGTATGGGCTGTTTTTTTCTAATTACAGATTTCAGAACATAGAAAACAATTGTTGTGCCTTTGAGTTCTACAAAAAAGTTTTAATATTCTGGTTAAGTTGGTTTGCTATGACAATTTTGAATAGTAAATATCATCAGTGGTCTTTTGCTTTACAGAAAGTTTATACTTACATGTTGAAATGTTCATCTATGAATGATTTCAGTGCCATAATAAGTTCATAGCTTTGATTTTCTTGCTACTATACTAGTTTTCATCTTAAAAAATATCCTCTTCTGGATAGATTAAGGAAATACTGTATATTTTGAAGGGCAAACCACTATTTTAACAGAAAAAAAAAGAGATATGATGCCATCTATATATTTGCATATATGTGTAATAAGAAATATATCTACTCACTGGAAAGGCTTCTGTGAGAACCAATCAAGTTCATTTAGCATGTAACATTTTCTATGTGACACTATTAGTGTATATTTGGGATTTGATACTTTCTTTGTCCAAGTTGAACTAGAAGAAATTTTTGCTGAATGGTCATTTTTAAAAATTTCTTTTGGCTTCCACTGGGAATAGCAGATACATCATGATCTACCTAAGATTAGTCCATATTGACCTTCATTTTCTCTTTGAAGTACAGCATTATGGATTTAGAACTGCTTAAGCCAAAAGCACCCAAAAACAGATACTGAAAGCTTACCTGGTCGATTTATAAACTGGGAGTCTCACATCAACACTGGCTGGGATTCCTAGCAGAGAGAAGAGATGTCAGGGATGATCCCAACCTGCTTTGAGGACTTTATTGTCCTCTACTTGCCTTCTCACTTTTCTCTCAATGTCTGTTTGGTACTTAAACATAATTATTGTATATAATAAGAATAACTGATTTAAATATTAACAATTGAAAACTGGTCTGGATAATATACATTTTTTAAGGTTTTACATGTATATTCTGCATTAGCAGTGCTTCAGGTCTGGGTATGAGTGGATTAACCAGGTACGATTTGCTCTGCCTAGTTTGCTGTTGCTAGTTTTGTTGAATGTGACACTGTTTCTGAAGCTGTCAAAGATAGAATATGCTGCTCAGTCCTTTTACCGTCTCCACCTCCAAGAAGAGAAATCTTTAAAGTAAGTCTTTTTGCCCCCTCCAATCTGTTATTATTTCAATAATTACTTAGTTGAAGAAAACTTAATTCCTGTTTTAGAGATTTTGGTCTGTTAACTATTCTGTAGTCATACTTTTTTATTTCTTAATTTTTCGTTCTGTTTGTAAATTTATGGAGCACTGGTAATTTCTGGAAATAAAAGATTAGGAGTTCCTTTCCTGATTTTTAATATGGTATTTTTCTTTCAGTTTAGCCTCTGATATGGTGTCAAGAGCAGAAAACAGTCAAAAGCATAAAGATCAGGCCCATCGTTTAAAAGGAGTGCTCCGAGACTCCATTGTGATGCTTGAAGAGGTAGGCAACTCTGTGCGCTCTCACACCCGTCTGCATCAGTGGTGGTTCTGGTTGTACGAGAGTATTCTGTATACCATAATTGAAGAACCTCCTCCTAGGGGCACTGCCCTTGCCTTGCCGGTTTCTGTATTATGCATATTTTGTACGTAGTCCCTTGTACTTTATATATATATATATATTTTTTTTTTTTACAAAATGGGAGCATACTACACACACCACTGTGTATCTTTTTTTTTAGTTAGTAATATATTTTGAAGATATCTCCATATCATTATACATACATCTACCTCATTCTTTATATCGATCCTTCTATACGAAAATTTATGGTTAATATCGACCCTTTTTATAGAAATGATAGATACTGTATACACTGCTATTTTGTTTTTATCTATTAACCATATAATTTGGAGATACTTCCATATGAGTATATAAAGTGCTTCCTCTTTCCTTAGTGGCTGCATAGAATTCAACTATACATGCTCCAATTATTCTTACCATATCTCCACTGAAGAATGAACATTTAGGTTATTTCAGTGTTTTGCTATAAACAGCATCTTTTGAACATAGTATCAATATGTGTTACTTAGTTCCATGAAACAAAAGTTAGGATTCTCTTTGAAAAATAAAGATTAATATTTCCATTATAATATATATGCTTTTTTTCAAAATTGAATAGAGAATAGAACAAAACCTATAGTTCTAGCATTCAGACATAATCATTGTTAATATTTTATTTCCTTTCATCCTTTTCCTCTATGTGTAGTTTTGTTTTTTAGAAGATTCAACTGTTGAGCATTTCATAGGATATCATGTTGGGCACAGAAGTTTACAACTTCAACTAGGCACTCTTCAAATGCACAGTACCAACAGTTTCCTTAGTAACTTCCTCCTCCTACTCTTCAGTATAGGAGTATATCGTATTTTCACTTTTCTCCTCATTTTCTCCTTCCATAGCCCTCTCACTCTCAACTGATAACTATGCATTAAGGAAGAAAGAGGCTTTCCCTCTCCTTCTATAACCAAGTCTACAGACCCTCCTATTGCTGCAGCCTGTCTTCCCCACTCCAGTTAGATGCATTCCTCAGCCTATGATAGGCAAGTCCCAGTATATGTTAGAAGGAGACTTCGTGCGTCTCCTTTCTAGCTTTCCCATTTCCAGTCTCCCTCATTCAGGTGGACCTTTACCATTGGCACCTGACCATGCTCAGTTTTCTCCTACATTAAAAAGCCTACACCATATCCACGTCCTTCTCTGTGTACTCGTCATCTCTCTACCCGCTTTCACAGTTGAGTTCTTTCAGAGTTGCCTACTCTGGCTGTCACTACTTTACCCCTTCTAACCCAGTCAACTTTTTTTTTTCTTCCAAAAACACTCTTTCACATAGTTTAAAGAGTTAACTTGTTCTACAAGGTTTGTTGAGAAAATTGCAATCCCAGCACTCTCTTCTCCATTTCTTTCCTAAGACAACAGTCTTTAACTTTTAGTTTATTCTGTTGGTGTTTATCTTCATATTTATAAATAAGCATGAATTGATACATCTTGATTTTTCCGTTTTAGACATTATCTTTTGACTTCCTATTAGGGAAGTAAAAAAAGAAAAGCAGGGATTTTGTTTTCTTCCCTTTCATCTCGTCTTGTCCCCCTTTCTCATTTCCCCATTCTCCCAAATGAAGTTATACTTTTGGTTAGATCAATATTTAGTGTTTGCTTTGTTTTTTACCAAGCTTGCTATTCTGAGCTGTGCCACAGAATAAACTGTGACTGCTTTTTCTTTTCTGTTCTTTTTCTTATCCCTGAATTTCATTATGGTTGATCAGTTTGTATCAATATTATTTGTAAGGATTTCATTCCACTGTCTGTTGTATAAATCTCTCATAATCTTCATTTGCCTCAGGCATTCTGTCCGTGGAGTCTCTGCCTGGCTCCAGGCAGGTGTGTGGCCCTCCGTGTGGTGCACAGCTGTCATCCATCTCCTCTGTTTCCTGTGGCCCATGTTTTATGCATATTTGATTTAATTCCACTTTTTAATGGAGCATATCCTTTAGTAGCCTCCTAAGGAGGAGTATGGAGGTAAATATTTTAAGATTTCATGTGTCTGAAAATCTTTTATTCTGTCCTTCCCTTTGATTAATAATTAGGCTGGGGATATTATTCCTACTTGGAAATAATGTTTCTTCAGAATGGTTAAGACATTGCTCCATTGTCTTTTGGCTTCCATTGTTACGACTGAGAATTCTGGAGGATGTTACCATTTTTAATCCTTTAATGTGGAAACTCATGCCCTTTAGTTCTGGGAAGTATTGTTTTATATAGTTGATGGTTTTCTTCCTTCTACTTTCTACAGCTTCTAAAATTCAATTAATTGGACAGGTTGTCCAATTTTCTTAACCTTTTTTTTCTAGCTTCCATCTCTTTGCCTTTTTGCTCTGCTTCCTCGGTGATTTCCTCAACTTAATCTTTATTTTTATTTTTTATTTTGTATACACATTTTTTCATTAAAGTGGATGTTCTAGGGATTATATAAAAACCTCCAAGAGTCTGCAAAGTTCTGATATACTTTCATTTATAATTCTAATTGTAGTCTTGGAATATTAGATCTCACAGAAAAAAGTCTATCTCAATTACATTACAATCCAGTGTATAACCACATGTCATTTTAACTTTTGTCATTTATTGTTTTAATCTGATGCATTTGAAAATATGTTCATTAAAAAAATTCTTTTATTGAGCTTTTCAATTTTTGTTAATTTTTAATTTGAAGGAGCTATTACTCCTCTGAATTTGCATTTTTTATGGCATTGTGATTTTGTAAAATTATATTTTATTGATTTTGCTGTTACAGTTGTCCTGATTTTCCTCCTTTTGCCCCCTCTACTCAGCAACCCCTACTTCCTCAGGAGTAGGGCAATGCTGGGCAAACTCCCTATCATTGTTCATGCCCATGGGTCATGCATATAAGTTTTTTGGATACTTCATTTCCTATATTGTACACTAGGTTCCCATGGATATTCTGTAACTACCTATCTGGATTTCTTAATCCCTTACCTCTTCACCCATTCTCCCCAGCCCCCCACCTCCAATATGGCAGCCATCTAGTAATCTCTGCTGCTTTTAAACGTCTTTATCTTTAACCTTTGGCCTTTTAATAATGATGTGTCTTGTAATGGGCCTCTTTGCAGTCATCATAATTGGACTACGTGCTTTCTGGACTTGCATGCCTATTTCCTTCACCAAATCAGGGATGTTTTCTTTCACTACTTTTTCAGGTAGATTTCCAATTTCTTGCTCTTTCTCTTCTCCTTCTGGCACCTCTACGATGCAAATGTTGGACCTCTTGAAGTTGTCCCAGAGGCTTTATACTAACCTTATTTTTTTTGGATTCTTTTTTCTTCTTCTTGTTCTGATTAGTTGTTTTTTTGCTTTCTTATGTCCCAAATCATTGATTTGATTCTCCATTTCATCCACTCTACTGTTGTTTCCTTATAAATTGTTCTTTATTTCAATTAGTGTATCCTTCCTTTCTGAGTTTTTTTAATGCTGTTGAGGTCCTCACTAAGTCCCTTGAGCATTCTTATAACCAGTGCTTTGAACTCTGCATCTGGTAGATTGCTTATCTCCATTTTATTTAGCTCTTTTTCTGGAGTTTTGCTCTGTCCTTTCATTTGGGTCCTGTTTCTTTGTCTCCTCATTTTGGAAGCCTCCCTGTGTTTGTTTCTGTGTATTAGGTAGAGTTGCTTTGACTCCATGTCTTGGTAGTGTGGCCTAATGTAGTAGGTGTCCTGTAGGATTCAGTGGCACAGCCTCCCCTATCGCCCAACCTGGGTACTCGAGGTGCACCCTTCATGTGAGCTGTGTGCCCCCTCCTCTTGCAGTTGAGCCTTGGTTGCTGTTGGCAGATCAATGGGAGGGATTTACCAAGGCAAGCCAGCTGCAAGGACTAGCTGTGATCACTGACCACCAACCTCTGCCATCCGTGGAGGATCAGCTCTGCAGGTGCAGTGTGGTAATGCTCCAATGTGGTCTGTAGGTGTCCACTTGGTGCACTGGCCCTGGGGTTTTCCAGGTGGTGCAGGCCAAGGTCTGCCCCAGCCTGTGTTTTGCCTGGTGCCACCGTGCCTGAGCTGTAAAGCAGTCTGAGATGGCTGTTACTTGTGCTGGGCTTGGAGATTCCCAGGTGAAGCTAACCTGTGACTCTAATCTGGCTGCCTGGGACTCACTGAGGCCAGCTGTTGCTTGTTTGATAAGATTTAGGGGCCAAGACCAGCCATTTATATGGAAAAGCAGCTTGGGTGGGCCAATAAATTGGGTGGGGCAGAGCCTCTGGGAATCTCTAAAGAGAGTCAAACAGTGTTAGTCAGGTTGATGGAGTCTTAGATATAGCACCAGCTTGCTGGCTCTGTGGGGAAAGGGTTTAGAAAAGGGACAATGGACTGTGCTTGCCTTAATGCCAGACACTTCAGTTTCTGCCTGTATACCACTGGTGCCTTTCAAGCAGCTACCCTAGTATTGGAACTCAGAGGGAGTGAGTCGGAGTAGGTGAGTCTGTGTGTGGGTTCTTTAAGAGGAACTGCATGGGGCTCCAGTAGCTTCTTTCACTGACTCAATCCCTGCTGGTTTTTGCAGCCAGAAGTTGTGGGAGTTTATCTTCCTGGCACTGGAATCATGAGCTGGGGGGCCTCTGTGGGGCTGGGACTCCTCACGTCTAAGATACCTCTCCTGAATTTTTATCCACGTGAGTGTGGGACTAGCATGTTCTGCGTCTGCACCCCTCCCACCAGTATGGATGGATTTTGTGGTTGTCAGACTTCCATTCAGCTCGATTTCTATTGTTCCTGAGTGATGGTTGTTCTTTATTTAAGTTTTCATTTTGATGTGGTTGTGTGAAGTGACAAGTCTCCAGCCACCATCTTGACCAGAAGTTGGTTGTGATCTTTTTAAATAGCCAAATCTTTGTCTCTCTGACCTATTACTGACAGTTAAATAATTTTTTTCTTCTCGCATACCCATTTTTCATCACAATCCTTTCCTGTCTGTTCTGATTACTATCCTTAGTGTTAGAGAATTTCTTTTGAGTTTGCAGTCCTTGGTTGTTTGCTTGTGTGGCTCAGAATCACTCAATATGGGGGTCATGGCGGTCTACCCTGAACTTCTCTGTAGATTTTGCTAGGCTTTTGGTTGAGAAATCCTGATCTCAGTATGTTTAGGTGTTTCCTCTTGAATCCCTCAGTTTCCATAAAGAAGACTCTTCCAGTCTTCTATATGAAGGATGTAAGGGCTGGCTTGCCAGCATTTTAGGGGCTGAGTGAAAGAGGGATGGGGATGTCAGTGCAGAGGAAGTGGTCTCAACATTCAGTATACATTTTTTCATATAATCCCCCTGTTTTTGGTATGGTACCATTGTCTTTAATGATGTTTTGGTATCCCCTGAACCACACAGCCAGAGACCCTATGTTTTGTTTTCCTCCTTGAACAACCAAAAGAAGGACAACAACAAATTTAAAAACAAAAAATAACCAGAACTGCCAGAAAATCAACCTGTATGGAAGCCCAACAACCAAGGAGATAAAGAAGAAACATTCATCCAGACTGGTAGGAGGGGCAGAGATGGGCAGCCAGAGTAGAGAGGATGCGCGGCAAGGTGGTGGCTGGCAAACCAGGCAGTCCCACATTTGTGTGCAGATAAACTGGAGGAACAGCTGGGGAGCGAGACAGACCACACAACCCAGGGTTCCAGAGCTGGGAAAAGAAAGCCTCAAAACCTCTGGCTGTAAAAATCTGTGGGAGTTGTGGCAGCAGGAGAAACTCCCAGCTTCACAGGAGAGTTCATTGGAGAGATCCACAGGGTCCTAGAATGTACACAAACCCACCTACCTGGGAATTAGCACCAGAAGGGCCCAACTTGCTTATGGGTAGCAGGGGAAGTGACTGAAAGCCTGCCAAGCAAGTGGCATTGCTCTTTCGTGGACCCCTCCCCCACATACAGTGTCATGATGCAGTGACCTGGGTTGTCCCACCCTGGCAAATACCTAAGGCTCTGCCCCTTCCAATGTAACAGGAAATATATAAGGAAATATGGTCCAAATGAAAGAACACATCAAAGCTCCAAAAATAGAACTAAAGTGATGAACAGATTGCCAACCTATGAGATGCACAGTTCAAAACAGTGGTAATCAGGATGCTCACTGAATTGGTTGAGTATGTAGCAAAATGGAGGAAAAAGCAAAGGCTATGCAAAATGAAATAAAGAAAAATATACAGGGAACCAACAGTAAAGGGTAGGAAAACGGGACTCAAATCAACCATTTGGAGCAGAAGGAAGAGATAAACATTCAAAAGGAACAAAATGAAGAAACAAGAATTCAAAAAAAAAGATGAGGAGAGGCTTAGGAACCTCTGGGACAAGTTTAAACGTTACAATGTCCGATCATAGGGGTGCCAGAAGGAGAAGAGGAAGACCAAGGAATTGAAAACTTATTTGAAAAAATAATGAAGGAGAACTTCCCCAATCTGGCCAAGGAAATAGACTTCCAGGAGATCCAGGAAGCTCAGTCCCAAAGAATTTGGACCCAAGGAAGTACACACCAAGGCACATCATAATTACATTACCGAAGATTAAAGATAAGGGGAGAATCTTAAAAGCAAGCAAGAGATAAAGAGAGAGTTCCCTACAAAGGAGTTCCCATGAGGCTATCAGCTGATTTCTGAAAAGAAACCTTGCAGGCAAGAAGGGGCTGGCAGGAAGTATTGAAAGTCATGAAAGGCAAGGACCTACATCCAAGATTACTCTATCCAGCAAAGCTCTCATTTAGCATGGTAGGGCAATAAAGTGCCTCCCAGATAAGATCAAGTTAAAGGAGTTCCTCATCACCAAGCCCTTATTATATGAAATGTTCAAGGGACTTACCTAAGAATAAGAAGTTCAAAACTATGAACAGTAAAATGACAACATACAACTATCAACAACTGAACCTAAAAAAACAAAAACAAAAACAAACTAAGCAAACAGCTAGAACAGGAACAGAATCATAGAAATGGAGATCAGAGGGGAGGGGAGAAGGAAGAAAGGGGGAAGATGTACAGGGAGTAAGCAGCATAAATAGTAGGTACAAAATAGGGAGAGGTTAAGAATAGTATAGGAAATGGAGAAGCCAAAGAACTTATATGTATGACCCATGGATGTGAACTAAGGAGGTGGGGGGTGCTGGGGGGTGGGGCAGGGCAGTGCAGGGCAGAGGGAAATAAAGGGGAGGGAAAAAAAATGGGACAACTGTAATATAATGAATAAAATATATATTAAAAAAATAAATATACCTCTGTCCAATATATCATTACCAAATATCTTCTCCCATACAGTGGGTTCCCTCTTCTGTTTGCTGATGGTTTCCTTTTTTTTTAGGATTTTATTTATTTATTTTGAAAGAGAGGGGAAGGGAGGGAGAAAGAGAGGGAGAGAAACATCATTGTGTGGTTGCTTCTCGCATGCCAACAACTGGGGACCTGGCCTGCAACCCAGGCATGTGCCCTGACTGGGAATCAAACTGCCAACCCTTTGGTTCGCAGGCCAGCATTCAATCCACTGAACCACACCAGCCTGTGGAAACGACCAGGGCTGTCGTTTTATATCAGGTATTGTGATCCCTCTTTGTTTTTCTTTCTCAAGATTGTTGAGACTATTCGAGGTCTTTTTTGGTTCCATGTACACTTTTGGAATATTTGTTCTAGATCTGTGAGGTATGCTAATGGTATTTTACTAGGAATTACATTAAATCTATAGATTGCCTTGGGTAGTATGGACATTTTAATGATGTTAATTTTTTCAATCCATGAACACAGTATATGCTTCGACTTATTTTACCTCCTTGGTTAAATTTATTCCTAGGTACCTCATTTCTTGAGACCCTCTGTTTTATATCCTCCCCAGAAGATGAAGTTTTTGACATCTGCTCAGGTAGTAGGAGAGAGGTCAGATGCCCAAAAGCTCATCTAATCCTTATTTTAGCCTCTTTCTCTTAATTCCTACTCCCAGAGACTCCTGGCCATCAATTCCTGAGGCTTTTGAGGATTGTTCAGGGTAAATTTTGTTGGTTCTCAGCTCTCTATTGTTAGCTTAGTATTCAGCTTAGTATGGGAAGCCATCCATCTGCTTTCCAGTTTCCAAAGTTGTATTGCTGTTTGTCACTTTGTCTGTTCTACCTGACTTGTGTTGTACGTCTTTTAAAAAAAAAGTCCTCCAGAGGGGTTTCAGTGGGGAACAAAACTTGATGCAAGTATTTAATCCACTGCCTCACTGTTCAGCTCACTCCTGCTTTGTTTTCTTCTCCCCCATCTTCCACTGATATTGAGCTAAGATCCCCAGTGACCTCCGGTTTGTAACATTAATGTACCTTTTTCTAGTTTTTATCTTACAGTGTCAGTGTTTTGACAGAGCTGACCACTCTTTTCTTGAAATGTATGTAATCTTGCTTTCTTTAAAACAATGAAAAAACACCAAGCTTTATTCTGAAATAATTTGTGTATTATAAAATTCACCTTTTTAAAGGATTAGTAGTATATTCACAAATTTATGCAACCATCACCACTAATTCCAGAACATTTTTATCACTCCCAAAAGAAACTCCATACCCATTAGCAGTCACTCTCATCCCTTTCTCTCTCCACTCCTGGCAATCAATAATCTTTCTAGTTCTGTAAATTCTCCTGTTTTGGACATTTCCTAAAAAGGGAATCTTTTAGGACTGGCTTCTTTCACTTAGAATAATGGAAAACTACTTTTTGTTTTAAAACCACCTTCTGTACTTGACTTCTTCCTGGTCTAATACTCCAGGTTGTATGTTAATTCTCTCCCCTTCTCCTCTGCTTCCGCGTTCGGTGATCACATCCACTCCCATAACTTGGAATACCACATGTGCCATTGACTCCCAAATCCACTGTCCTTACCCTGACCTTTTCCATGAGCTCCAGACCCATAGTCATCTTCACCTGGCTAATAACAGGCATCCCAAAATGATCATGTCCAAAACAATTCCATTTTCATCCTGAACCAAACCCAATTCTCCTCTAGTTGACCTAATTTTAGAAAATGATACTAACCTCCTCCAGTTGCTTAAGTAAAAAACTTAATACAGTGTGTAAGTATATATTTGTGTGTGATCATGCGTTTTAGTTCTGTGTTGCTTATTAGTGTCAGTTCCATGAGGGCAGAGACAGTGCCTGCTTGGTTCACCGTTGCCTACCCAGTCTCAGCACAGAATGAGTGAATGGATACAAAAAAGAACAAGACATAATTCTCGTTCTTAAGTTGCCTACAATTTTATTACAGAAATCCAATGTCCATGTGTATTGTTAAATACTATTTGAAAAGTACCAAATTAGGTGTCAAAGTAAGTAGTAATGCTTTGGGAGTTTAGAGGCCAGATGATTAGGGAAAACTACGTGGAGACAGTGGGGATGGGTCGGCTTTAGATAAGGTACAGACAGACATGAAGCGTAATAGCAGGCACAGGCCTGGAAGTGAAACTTGAATTGTTCAGGAGATAGTGAGACCACTGCACCTTCAGAAACCATTTATGAAAACAAGCCAGCCTTTCACTCGATAATTTGATTATGGACCTAATGGGAGGTAGAATACACAGCAGTTCATTGTAGGAAGTGCAATCTTAGAGCAAATGGGAACAACTCTGTAGCAAACATACTGTCAGAGACCCTATGGAATCAGGTGTTTTATATTCAGTCTTTTGTTTGGGCATCAGTATAAACAAAATTATATTAAATGTAAATGTGAACTTTGGCATAAAAATAATCAGAAAAATTTAACGATTGATTTTGAAAATTATTTTGTTTGCAGTTGAAGAGCTCACTTATTATGCTTCAAAGAACCTTTGATTTACTAAATAAAAACAAGACCGGCATGGCTGTGGAGAGCTAATGATCTTAAGGACTGCGATTGGAGAGATTCTTGGAGCTAAAAGAAAACATCTGGGAGAAAACGAAAGGATGAAGGATTTTAATTGTCATAGAACATTTCCATGTTTTCTCATTATTGGTACCTATGAACATTCTTTTTAATAACATTTATTTCATAATTAGTCTCCAATGGCCTTAAGAATCCATACCTTCACTTCTTATACATAATTCTAAGCTGTGAATTTCTCCAGTGGAGCATGGACTATATTGTGGATTTGAATGTCTGATATGAAAAGAAAATGAGACATTTGGCCTCATTTTTACATTGAGGTTTGAAGTTTGATGCTTTATCTGTTAGCACAGAATCAGAATGTGTCCAATTGGCTACTTTCTGAGTTGAGATACATTCAAGAGGCTAAGGACAATATAAGAAGAAACCGCTAAACCATTATGAATTTTGAAGGATCAGTTTTCAGGCATGTTACATTTCTATGTTTGCATAGTGTAAATGTTACAATGACTTCATTTATTTAACATGCAAATTCAGTAGACCTTTTGACTTTGCACATGGATGATACTTATCTGAAAGGTTCTTCAGCCATGTTTTATCTTCATGAAAGAAATAGTTATTTCTTATTCAGGTAACTATTAGAGGTGAGATTATCTTGCTTCTTCATACATGAAATGAATTGAAGAGTCAGTTTCATAGGATATCAACACTCAAAAATGAGGAACCATGCTCTGAGTTTTAAAATCCAGAAAATTAGGTTAAAACCTCGGCATTTAGTGATCAAATAAATACTTGAACTAAGCTGGGCTTCAGTTTAGCAGCCTAACTTGTGGGGTAGTTTTCGGTAGCCACGTATCCCCTCTTTTATTCACTTATGTGCGTGGCTTACTTTACTTATTAAGTTTTAAGACACAAACTTTATCTTTTTAATAAAAACTTCTAGATACATTATCTCACAATAAAAGTGCACTGACTGAAAGTTTTAAGTCAGACAGAAGCTCTGGCTCTTTCATAAAAAGGTTTTAGGCATATGTCTCAATACAAGTGATGCCTCTGGAACAAGAGAAAGTGCAGAATAATTTGTATATATTCTTACTGTTTGAACAGCTATTGTCTTTAAATTTCTTTTTTTTCCCCAGAGTCACCACAACCACTTGGGATTGCTAAAGTCATTTTTGAGATGCCTGTAGAGAGCGAAAGTATTGACTCAATTAGAGGGAAAGTAGGTTTCTCTGGGTGGCTCCCAACTCACCAACTTTGGGGAACCAGTGTACTTATCTCGGTTGTTTTATGAAGTGTCTGGCTGTGAGCAAGAGTGACTGAATTATAAACTTGAAATGTTTTTCTCTTAAATTCACAAAAATTATCAGTGAAAAGCTGAGTATTTTTGAGATGTTTCTTTAAAACTTGGACTTCATAGCATACCTCAAAGAAAATGACCAAAGTTGCTATATAAATTACGACTAAATATGCATGTAGAATTCAATCAGTTGTACTTGAGTGTTATATAAATTGAATATCGTTAAAACCCAAAACCTGAGTTGTCATTTTTCTTTCTTTTCTGCCTGGAAAAAAACAAAACAAAACCAAAACCTCAAAACCCCAAAGTATAGAGCCTACTGTAGTGAAAACGTGTACATGGGCCTATACTGTATTTAAAATTTTGTATAAGAATAAAACCAAAGAGGACTCTGATCTTAGAGCAGTTTCATTTTAAATATGCATATTGCTGGAACAAAAACTCTAGATAGGCCTGCGGGTCTAATGTAGTGCCTACTCACCAGAAATCAAAAAACAAGTTGGGTAATCACCAAATCAGGGACAGTTATGGGCCTTTAAGGGAATGTTAGAGAATTTGGGGCGGCACCTCAATAACCTTTGGCGGCAGAGATGTCTCCCAACGCCTGTTGCGGGCGTCTGAATGAGCGATGGCCGACCCACGGGTTTCAAATACTTTGGAAAACCTTGATAGTTCTCGGGTTTCCCACATTTCAGTCTCGGGCCCCTCCCCCGACCCGGGCTTTGGAGGTAGCCCCACCTACGTGTCGCCCGCAGGCAACTGCGGGGCGGGACAGGGGCCCCGCGGCCGCCTCTGGGGCGGGGCGGAGGTGCGGACCAGCCGGGGTCCCGTCCTCGGGACCCGCTCCCGGAAGCCAGTTTTCTGCTCTTCCAGTTCTCCGGGCGGCAGAGCTCCTGGACAAAGGAGGAGCCTCGCTACCGCCGGGCGGTGGGCGGTGCACGTGCCGGCGGGCGGGGATTCCCGGGGCCGGGGGCGGGGCACCCGGAAGCGCGCGCGGACTGTCGCGGGGAACCCGGGCGGCCGCGGGGCGGTGGGGACGGCGTGGATAGGTGGACGCTGCCGGGGCCAAGGCGGGCTGCGGTCACAGGTGGGCGGCGGCGGCGGCGAGGGCGCGGTGGAGCCGAGCTGGAGCCCCCGACACTCCAGCTATCACGCCGGGAGCCCTGCAGAGATCCGGGGAACGCGTCCTCGCTCCTGGAGGAGGCGACCCTTTTCCTTACGCGTTGGTTGCAGCTGCACCTCGGCCCGGGAGATCAGGTAACTTCCCTTCCAAGGTCATTCTTCGGGCGGGGCGGCGTTCACGGCCCACGTCCTCACGTTTGGTGGGGGCGTGAGAGGTTAGCTCTGCTCTGGGCTGGAGAAGCAGGGCTGGCTGGCGACCCCGAGCCCTACCCGCGTACCTGGTGACTTCCTCAGAGCCGGGTCGCCGTCCCCTGCGGCCGGGTGCATTCGCCCGCCCCAGCGGACACATGCTGCATCTCTGCCCGCAGCCCCGAGGGTGACTTTACATGCGCGCCCAGGTTCGAGCGGGGACCGTTCAGCCCCCCTCAGCCCGCACCAGCAGGGTCGCGTAGGCTCCGGCGTCCCCGCTGTCCCGGGCGGCGTGGTCGGCTGTCGCCATGGGAACGGCTGGTGCCCGGTAGCCTGCTCTGGATGGGATGGGGAGGTGAAGGCTTCTCGAAGCCGCTAAAGCCCTTAGTGCTCTCTCTCTGGCCAACCCGAGTCAGAAAAGCCTGATGAAAATGGGACCCCTCCCCCTCTTCTCATTTTTGATTTCTCAGGCGTTGGCGGTTGATCAGAGAGAGAGAGGGAGGGAGGGAGGGAGGGAGAGAGAGAGAGAGAGAGGCGTGAATGTGTTTACAAGATGTGAGTTGTGTTCTTTCCTCCTTTATCTCCTGAGGGCTTCTTACGCCTCATGGTGACAGGTGAGAATCATGACACAGAAAGGCAGTTTGAAGACAGTGAAGAAAAACAAAGCAGAAGATCCTGAATTGGAGCCCCTGTGCTGCTGCGAGTACATAGATCGAAATGGGGAAAAGAACCACGTGGCAGCTTGTTTGTGTGATTGCCAAGATCTGGATGAAGGGTGTGATAGGTAAGAGCTGAGTTTCCTGATGCTGACCCCTTTGGCCCTTTTGAGAACTGCCATGTAGACTTTCAACTTAGCTCTCCAGGACACTAGAATTTGCCCTTGATTCTATTTCTAAAGATCTAAAATTGAGAGTTGTCTTTTGTGTGAAGAGTAAGGATTTTATAAAGATGGAGTCGTGCACAACTGACTGTTCAGCTCGGTTTACTAGGATCTCATTTTTCATTTAAAAGGAGAAGATGGAGAGAATAGGCAGATAAAGGGCAAGTTAAATGTATAAAAAAAATAAAATGCAGCTCAGCAGAACCTGTAATTTTAAAATGAATATGGTACCAGAAAGTTCTTATGTTCTCCGTGATCTCAGCATTTAGAGACTACGTGGAACTGGACTGGATCGTATCTGGCCACAGAGGGCCTTGAGGGTTGAAAGATCATTTTTCTGCTGTTGGAACTGGTCTCACCCCTTATTTCTGGGGAGGAAATCCAGCTGGAACACATGTCCCTCCTCTGGACTGGCTTTTTCAACATGAGTGGCAACAGTGTTTTGTCTGATGCTATTGTATCTGGCTTTCATTTTCATTATTAATCCAAGTGATGGGAATTACTATCCAGAAAGATAATTTTTAACATCACTGAAAAAATTTTGTATCAAAGAATGATAACCTGGTTTTTATCCATTTTCTTAGTAATATATTTAAAAATTGTTGGCATATGGAAGACATAACAGGGGAAGAATAAGGATGTTGGAAATTCTTTTGCTTTTCCCATTAACAACTACTTCTGTTTAAAAAGTCATTGCTATGGTAAATTGTTGACTTACAGCTTGGTGTATTAATCTAACATGAAAAGCATTCTTGGGGAACACTGTGGTCTAGTACCAACCTTGACACTTGAATAACATAACCCCTTTGTAATTCTTACTTGACAGTGTCTATAGTCTTTTTTATAGACATCATTAAATATGGGTTTTGTAGACTTAGTCTAAAATCCAAGAGAAAATGGAGCACTTTATGCTAATGAATGGAGAAATGATGCTGCTTCCATAATCTCCGTCACTCAAGACCACAGCTCTTCCTTAACCTGCTAACTCTTCCTCCCTCCCAGCCCTTGAGACCTGGGCTGTCTTTGAGTCCTTGCCTCTGCTCTCTCTGTGCACTTCTCTGGAGAGAGGCTCTCTGCATTTCCACTCTCCTGCTGCTCTGATGGTTCCCATGTAGTTATCTCCCATTTCCAAGTTCTAGCCCTACTTTTTTTGTTGTCTAACATCAGTGTGATCATTCCTTAAACCAATCCTTTCCTTACCAGCATTAAGTATGCAAAAATTCAACAAATACCTTGTGTTCTCCAAGCTTAGTCATTTGACTCATAGTAGTTTGATCTCCATTCTTCCCCATATAGACCGCTGCCCCTGCCGAACTGGTGCACACCCGGGGGCCAGCACAGGTTTGGTGCCGTACACTTGACTGTCCACTGGAACACCTCCCTCCCTTCCTCTCCACTTGTGCAAATGCAAGCCAGCTGTCAAAGTCGAGGACAGATCCTACCTATTCCACAAAGACCCCTCTAATGGCTCTGCCCGGAAGTGTGCACTCTCCTTTGAGCCCTCCTTATGGTGTTTGCCCATAATAGTTCATTGAGTGATTTTGCTGTTTTGTCACTTATCTAGTAATTTTTTTTTTTCCAGTTTGTTTCCTCGGACAGGATACTAGACAAACAACCAATTTGCTTGCGTTTTAAAAGGATAAGTCCAACTAGCAAACTGAAAAGGGGGTCCTCATAATTCTTGATCCCATGTTGTCTTGGCTTTACAACTGGATTGTGAATTTTTAAAAGACTTTTATGTCTCTGCACCCATGCAAGTATAAACAGTACTTGTAGGGAATGTGTATATTAATATGCGGGGGGACCCCAAAAAACTGGAATCATCTGGAGGCTGGGCCCCCTTTAGTACAGGCTTCCTTGTAAGAGGCTGTGTGGCTGTGTTTGGCTTCAGTGAATTTTTGTTGAAGACTCAGTGCATTTGCCCCTTCCATGATGGGTGATATACGAGCACACCTGCCCACACCCTGCTGAGCGTTCAGCAATTTTTGACCAAAACTGGCCTGACCCCCATGCCCCACTCTCCCTAATCACCCAGTCTTGCCCCCAGTGACTTCTTTTTCATTTTGTTTCTCTGGATGAAAAAAGTCCTCAAAGGGAAATGTTTTGCTCCATGTGGAAAAGGCGAAACAAAAAAATGGCAGACACACTAAAAGGCATCAGGATTGATGAGTTCAAAAACTGTTTTTGAGCAGTGGAAAAATCGCCTCGATAGGTGTATTGCATCAAATGGAGAGTACTTTGAAGGTGACTGAAGTTTAAACATGTAAGAATAAATACAGCTTTTTATAAATAAATTCCTTTTTTTTTTTTTGTTCCGCCCTCACACATACTTATTTCATGGAGAAATAGTTTTAACTGTTAAATATCTAAACATTATCATCTGGTTCATTTTCAGAAATAATACATGAATTTGAAAATAGCATGTTTAGTAGTCAGGAAGTAGATTACTTGGCCTTTTGCCTCCTCTTATCATTTGTTCTGCTGTTTGGCCTACAGTGTTCAGTGTTTTTAATTCAGCAAACTTGTATGAGGTGTTTTCTCTTTGTGCTCTTTCTGAACAGATGGATTACATGTAAATCCATGCAGCCGGAGACTTGTGAAAGAATTATGGATACAATCTCTGATCGCCTCCGAATTCCTTGGCTTAGAGGAGCCAAAAAAGTTAACATTAGCATCATTCCCCCTCTCATCCTCCTGCCTGTCTTCCTTCGAGTGGCTTCCTGGCATTTCCTCCTGGGGGTGGTGGTTTTGACCTCCCTTCCTGTGCTGGCCCTGTGGTACTACTACCTCACTCACAGAAGGAAAGAACAGACTCTGTTTTTCCTGAGCCTTGGGCTCTTCTCTCTGGGCTACATGTACTATGTGTTCCTGCAGGAAGTAGTCCCCAAAGGGCGTGTGGGGCCCGCTCAGCTGGCTCTTCTTACCTGCGGGTTATTTCTGATCCTCTTAGCTTTGTACAGAGCCAAGAAGAATCCAGGCTACCTCAGAAATCCTGCAAGCAAGGACAGAACTCTAGGCAGCAGCCGAACTGAGTGCCTGAATGGAAAGGGGCAGAAGACAAAAGGGCTCCCTGGCGCAGATACGATAGGCATTCTCAATAATCGCACGCTCAAGGATGATCAGAAGGACTCTGCCAGGTTGTCGGCTGGAAGCCCCACCAAAGCGAAGGAGGACTGGTGTGCCAAGTGCCAGTTGGTGCGACCAGCCCGGGCGTGGCATTGCCGGATATGTGGCATCTGTGTGAGGAGAATGGATCATCATTGCGTCTGGTATGTGGGAAAAATTTGGAGGCTTGTGAAGTGTAAATTCACGTGAGACTCTCGCCATGTTTGATCTTCCTTCGTATCATCCTAAAATCTCTCTCCTTCCCAGCCTTACATCTTGTAGATATCTGTGGGCTGTTCGGATGTTCCCACTTAGTCACCAGCTTTTTCCAAGTTTTACAAATTTAGTTCTTTCACAGTCATTTCCTGAAGGTGATTTTTCTTTTTCCTTTTTTGCTATTCTCTTTTGAGCTGCCCCTCATTTATCTTCTCCTTTCTAAAAGAGAAACATCTAGAGTTGAGTGATATAAAAAACAGTAATTTATCAAAATCAGTATAGGCATATTTCCTTTACAACACAGAGCTTAAGCAAGCGTTCCCGTATTTTTAGGTGACCCTTTTGTCCTCACCATGCTGCTGATGATTTCTAGTCTACATTTTTGAGGTAAGGTCTTGCTAGATAGCCCCCTATTTGGTTATTGGTAGAGAAATGGGCTTTTTGGGTACCCTCCTGCTAGCCATTGACAAATGAGGACGCAGTAAGGCCTATACAATACAAAGTGCAACTGTTAATGTTGCATCTTCACTGAGTAAATCTTTAAAAAAAATTTAATTTACTGATTTTAGAGAGAGAAGGGGAGGGGGGGAGAGAGAGAAACATTGGTTTGATCCACCTATTTATGCATTCATTGGTTGATTCTCATATGTGCTCTGACCAGGGATTGAACCTGCAACTTCGGTGGACGATGCTCCAACCAACTGAACTACCCGGCCAGGGTTACTGAGTAAATCTTAAACTAAAGGGGGTGAAATTAATTCATGTTTGCAACTTTATTGCTCTTAAGGCAGTCAAGGTCAGCGAGTTATGCATTTTATGACTAGGATCCTTGTTCTATAGCGTACCTCCCTCTCAGAAGGGCATGTCAGAGTGCATGAGGTGCAGAGGGCATGGAAGTGGACCTCAAGTACAGGAGCAGCTCTTTTCTGGGGCTTTGTACTTAGGAGTAAACAGGTATTTTCATTTTTAGATTTTTCCACTTCTCTGTCATTTCTCTCTCTCTGTCTCTCTGCGAGCGTGTGGCCCATTTACAAGTGCTGGTTTGCAGAAGGCCTGACAGTCTCGCCCAAAAGATCTCTGCCTACTGCGGCATCCTGGTGTCTGTACATCCTGTCCTACATGTTCTACAAATGGCTGTGACGTGAACTCTTTTACCTGACTGTGTATCATCGAGTAGTTCTCCATCCCACCCCACGTTTCTAATCTCTTGGGACCTTTTTATTAATGTATTTTCTGATGCTATGTAACACCTCTGATTTAGCATTTTTAAGTTTTTGTAACTCTGCTATCACCCTTTCCTTAAATGGTGATACTACAATATTAGCTCTCGTCATAGTTGGGTAATAGACTTCATTATTAATATTTAGAAAGATTTGTTAGCCAGGTCCTGCTTTTTACTTAGTTTTGTCCTTAAGCTGATGATATGATTTCACTTCTTAAAGAGCAGAGACTATAAGACTACACTTCTTAGTGGCCAACTTTTTAATGGCCTGAAATTGAAAAATAAAAGAACTTTTTAATAACTGATATTCACACTATTCCTGTTTTAAAAGCTTTTTTATCTGAGTTATACAAAGAACTTTCTAAAACGTGTTTCCTTTTTTCCCCCCTATGCTATTTCGAGGATAAATAGCTGCGTCGGAGAATCAAATCATCAAGCCTTTATACTCGCCCTTTCCATCTTCTTGCTTACCTCGGTATATGGGATCACGCTGACGCTGGACACCATTTGTAGAGATAGAAGTGTCTTCACAGCTCTCTTCTATTGTCCTGGAGTTTATGCTAATTATAGGTGAGCTATGACATTGCTATTATTGGAAGGGGCTATGATCTCTACTAGGTTAGGAACTCTCAACCAAAACTTAGGGCAGGTTATGTGACTTTGGGGTATCCCTGAAATTGCCAACAAAATTGTACAGTAGATACGTGCATTTTTCTAGGGCGATGTCAAAAAGATCCTTGACTCTTAAAAATGAGGAAGGAGTATTATATTAGGTAGGACCAGTGGGCTTCATAAGGGACTTCAGGGATCAGTTGACCACTTACATGTCCAAACAAGCGACAGTGAAGCTAAAACTAACTAGCAGTCTATTTTGTCATAAATATCAGTGAACTCCTCACTTTACTGCTGCTTTCTGGTGCTCTTTAGCCCAGTCTTAATTTGTGAAGTGCTTACAGTCTCTATAACCTTTCTTTTCTATTTGGCCTCTATTGGGTTTTCCTGTTCTACTTTTCTTTCTTTCTTTCTTTTTTTTTTATCACTCGTGATTATTGTAGTTATCTAGGTCAAAATTTCCTTCGGCATTGTTCTTTTGGGCACATATCTATATTGTAAAGATTCACATGCTTGGATGAAGCTGGCATTTTTCACCTTTGGCCCAAGCCAATCTGTACCCTGAAAACCACAGCCTTCCCCTGCCTATGACCTTTGTTCCTGCCACCATTTTCCTCTGATGTGGGTGCTCTGTGCTGTCTGTGGTCTCTCTGAGCTGGAGCAGCTCTGCCAATGGTTCTTCTCTTCTGTTTGGTTTCAGAACAAACCCTGCTTTATCTCTGCAGTGTCCCTGTGCAGGTATTAGTTTGTATTAGTCTGCGGACGGATCTCCCCCATTGCATTATAGATCTAGACATTTAGGGGCATCATTCAAATAGATTGGTCCTCCTCTTTGGAGGTAAGTTCCTTTTTTTACCATGTTGAGAGTTTCAGTAGGTTGTAAAATTCTGCGGTAACACTGAAAGTCTTCCGTAACTACTCTTCTTAGTACTCTGCGACAAATGTCCTAAAGCGGAGCATGTCTGTATGTACAAAGCATGAGTTTCGTAGACTTTCTCCAACAAAATAGTCCTGCCTTTGGTTCTCACTGCTCTGTTCAGGTGATTCGCATCACCTCATCTTGGTGTTGATTTAACTATCTCTGAGGCCCTTTTGGCTTAACAAATGAAGGTTCTGAATGAATTTATTTCCATTAACTCGTTTGCAAATGTTTGAAAATAATCAGTCGGCAGACACTGATTGGTAACCTCTCCTCCCAGTCTTAGTGATGAGCTGAAAGGAGCTTTCTTGTCCTGTGTGGTCGTTTGGCTTCGGAAAGTAGAATTGGAAATGTGATGGGGCTGCCACACTTCTCTCAGGCAGAGGGCCTCCGGTGTTGGGCGTTGCCTCTGTATTCATGCTCATCAGCATTGGACTGAAAAAGAATGGAAATTAAGAACTTCCCGCCCACAGCTTCCTTGAGGATGTTTGCAGTCAATTTGTGGAGCCTTCATTTTCTCCTAAGTTAGAACAAATGAGAAATTACTTGTTCATTCAGCACACAGATTTTGAACCCTGTTAGGTCAGGCACTGTGTTATATGTGGGGGATACAAAATGCAGGAAACAGCCTTTGCTATTCTACTAAAAAATACTAGAAAAAGAGATACCGACAGTTAAAATAGAACATGTTAATAGTCATAATTTAAGCAGGTTGTTGGTGTGTTGAGGATAGAAAAGCATCTGCCAGTGGGGCAATTGGGGAAGGCACCAAAGTCATCCGGAGTAAGTACTACGTGTGTAAGATGTTAGGCAAGTGACAGGTTCCTGAATGTGGAAACATCAGTAGTCCTGACCTGCCCATCCCCCCTTCGCAGCTCAGCGCTGTCCTTCACCTGCGTGTGGTACTCTGTGATTGTCACAGCGGGCATGGCCTACATCTTCCTGATCCAGCTGATTAACATCAGTTACAATGTGACCGAGAGGGAAGTGCAGCAGGCCCTTCGACAGAAGACGGGACGCCGGCTCCTCTGGGGGCTCATTGTGGACACAGGGCAGTACAATCGGGGCTTCCTGCGGAACTGGCACCAGTTTTCCACACTGGGCACTCACCCGTTCCATGACCCCGCTGAGGACATCGTCTGAAGTGCCTTCGGGGCGGCTCCGGGGGTGGGGCGGGGCGCCATCCTCTGAGTCCTTCCATCATACACTTCACTGTCCACGCAGGATGTTCATTTTTATCCCTGGTCTTTTCAAGGCATTATAGGGCCATGCTCAGGTGTAGAGACTGGACTGGAGAAATGAATTTTTCTGACTTCACAACTTAAGAGATTTTTATATTGAAGCAGTAAAAGTAGAGCCATTCCTTTCCAGTCACCTTGTTAACTAGCTCAGTCACCAGAAATTGAAATGGATGTGGATTGCTAATGCACAAATTGATTGAAGCAATTCCCATCCCTTAGTATGGGAAAAAGTTTGGATTAGGATAGTTTCTAGTCCCTCTTTTAATTCCTAATAGCCATGTGACCCTTAGTCGAGTCACCTCCCCGAGTCTCAGGTCCACCTGTAAGGTGGGGTGCCGGTGCCTGCCCTGGCGGCCTCACAGAGCAGTTGCGAGGGGTGCGGGAGGGAGGAGGTGTGTGGAAAGCACTGCAAAATAGTGAAAGCACCAGAGGTGTGAAGCATTATTACGAAAATCCCCAGACTGGGGAAAAAAAAATTTGTAGGTCAGAATATTGAAGCCAATATTATTAGAGTAATCTCTTTTCAGCATTTCAGAGTGAAAAAAAAGACACCTGAATACCATGTTGTACAGTTATGGGAATTTCTCTTTTGGAAGGATTAGACGTTAACTATTCAAACAGGGTAGAGGATGACCAGATGAATTTACACTGTCATCTGATCTTGAAAGGACAGTTGACGCCAATCCTCATTATTGCTGGTATAATAATTATTGCTGGTATAATGTACAGTGGTCACGAGTTTAGATGATAAGTTCTTATATTTATCTTCTTAGGCATTACTCTTTAGATTTACTCTGAGTAACTCCAGTAGGCATTAATGTTTTTGCCTCTTTCCATGTCTCCCCCGGTAAGGTGCTAGCCACACTTGTAACGATGGCTGGGAGAGGAAAACAGACACCCTTACAGGGAACACTTTACTCTCTTTCCTGGGTTGGGTGGCTGGTTAATATCAAGGGCTTGATTTTTTTGTTCATGTAAGTGATTAAAATGCGGTTAGCTATAGCACTAGGTTGCAATAATCCATCTTCTAGTCTTTACATTATTCTGGGATGGACTCTCTTCGAGGGGTTGATTAGCATCTTCCCTCTTAACTTGCACATTACTTTTCATTCACCTTTCCCCAAATAAAAGTATCTCACCAGGAGAGAAAAAACAGGGTAGTATGTGTGGTTTTCACTAATTAAGGGATTACTGTTCTTCCCTAGTTCTTCCTAAAATACCGAGTTGTTTCTGTAATCATATCTCAAACCTGAAAATGTATAAAGAATTAAATATTTATGTATAATGGAGCTATTCTGCCACAGAATTAAGATGGCGCAATTTCAGATGGGAGAAAAACTCTCTTAAAATACTTAGTTTTTTACCTGTATCTTTTTAATTGAATTTATTGGGGTGACATTGGTTAATAAAATTATATAGGTTGCAGGTGTACAGTTCTATAACACATCATATATATATTGTATTGTGTGTTTACCACCCCAAGTCAATTTTCCTTAATCCTAAAAGCAATTCATGTCCTTAAATTTGCCTTTGCTTGTAGTTTAATTTAGGGACAATATTGCCAGGTTTTCCAGTCTTTCTCTGCATACTGCTGTAACAAGAGGTTTATATATGTTGAGAGGAAATAGTGCTACTTCCTGCAACTCTATCCTCTGCAGCTAGCACTAAGTCCTGCCGTTAATCGAAGCTGTCCTTAAGACAGCTTGCTGCTGCTCTCCCCAGAGATGGTTTAACAAATGATAAGCCTTGTCAGATGCCCCTGCGATGAGCCAGGCAGCAAGTCTGGGGGTGTTAGCAGGGGCTGTTGTTTCTACACTGATGCATTCTCCCTGGCCCAGAGTAAAGCATTCATTTGGAGTTAACATTGGATCTGATAATAACCAATTGCTTTCTGTGTAGGTTTGCGATAAGAGAAACATTAACAATGTCAAAGACAGCATGTGGCCAGAAATCTCTAATTGTAGTCTCCTGAATACCAGATACATACCAACTCTGATTGCCTGGCAATTGATAATAATATTCATAGAAAGGCTAGTATATTCAGTAATTTTAGCCTCTTGTCAAATCTTTAAAAATAATCAAAATATGGCATGATGAAGATGAGTCCCACCAGAAAGACCAGTCATTTGAGAAAATGGGAATGTTACCATCTTTAAGGCCACATCTCGCTAATAGCATTACCTGGATGGGGCAACTCGGTGTCCCTCTCTTGAATAAGGACTCCTGTGTTACTCTGGCTTACTGAGATTCAGAGGCTGGCTTTTTAAAAGTTCCTTGAGAATGTCATGATCGACAGTTTGCTGGACAAAGCTCAAACCTTTGAAAATTTCGGTTTTGTCAGCAGTAAAAGTCTACTGAAGTATTTACACCAAAAGGAGAGCAGAGAAGTGGCTCTCAATGAGAAGTGCTCTGTAGGCTCTGGGACATCCTTGGCCAACACTCCTAGACTTCTAAAGCTTTTTATGCTCTCAAACTATTGGAGGGATTTTGTCCTCTACAGGACGAAGCCTCTTTGAATGAGTGAGCCCCAGAGGAATATTCGGTGGCGGTGGCCGTGAGGTGCTGCCCTGCACACCTCTACAGCAGTGTCTCTTGGCCACAGGAGCACGCCACCCACATAATTCCAGACAAGCGGTCCCCCTTCTCTCCTCCCACAGCCTCAGCCTCTGTTACTAAATGTACTGGATGTGGAACGTAGTAACTGATCGACTGCATTCTAATCAGCATTACTGTCCTGCCAGGTGTACTATTCCTGGGAAAGTGAAATGGGTCTATTTGAAAGATAGTTAACGATCAGAATTGCATGAAAGGAGAAAATCCTTCAATGTTGAAAATGTTTCTTATGACACCCAGGAGTATTCTGTGGTTATAACTGGGCCCACCTGACATGAACTGATCATAACAATGGCTCTCTGCTGGGTGTCCTGATGCTTCTCAAGTTGAGCCATAAGTGTGCTTAGGGACACTTTGCTGCTTGTGTGACCTCAGCCACCTGTGTGTCTGTGAGTAGGACAGTGTGAGTCTGTGCTATCCAAGCGGTGTTTTCCTTCGGTGAATGATGTGATTGTTGTCTTCCACTGTACCATCGATCTGCCCAGCAGAAAGACTGCTACAAACTTTTTCTTAGGCAGTAGTCCTTGGTACTTCGAATATTTTTGGCAAGGGAAAATTTTCCATACTAGAATCTTCCACTGCCAGAAAACACAAGGTTCTTTGTAATACTCACAATCTGCTTAACAGACTAGATTTCCATTGGGTAGGACATTAAATTTTTATTATAAAACTCAGCTAATATAAGCAAAAATATGACGTAGAAGCAGCTTTAACCAGGATGTTTAAAGATTGTTTCCTCAGGTTTAAGGGTCCCTTTAAACTAGGTAAGCAGGTTTATATGACTTGACTTGAGCCATATTTTGGTCCCCTGCATTTTAAAAGAGAATTTCCTCACATAAGCAGTGGATGAGAGAAACTTTTGCTTGAGGTACCTGTTTGGAATCTGGTTTTCTGTTGGCAGCTTGACGAGTGTGCCATTTTGTATTAAACATGGCAAAGGTGATGCAGGGGAGAATGAGAGCTGGGCTTAACTTGGTGTTGAATAAAATTCAGTACGCTATTGTACATGTTTACTGTGACTAATATAAACTTGTTGTCAAATCAGCTAAATTTGATCCTGTTGCTAATGGACAGTTCTCCCTACTTCAGTCTGCACTAAGTGTTTCCCTGTAGTATCAGCAGTAGGCAAACGACTGAATGCTTAATGAAGACAGAGTTCCTGGAGGTTGTGGCTATTTCCTGGTTGGGCTTGTGACTTACTACTGCTCTAGGCTTCCTGATGGCACCTTCCACTTCCGGAAAAGTCACCTTTAAAGCAGAGCTTTAAAAGCAGATCTATTCTAGTTGTCAATGCAACTAAAATCCTGTATTTTTTTTTCAGATGGCATCACTGACAAGATGCCACATTAGGAAACTGCGAGAAGCTCAACTTGTTGTGATTCTGTGGTCTGGGTGGTTTGATGGTGTGAGTTATTAGGGCTTTTGAGCCTTTTCATTTGATTAGGTTTCTGGGTCTGATGTGATCAACTAAGGGAAACCCAGGAATATTTATTTAATATTAAATTTAATATTTAATGTAACTAGCCCAGCAGCATTAAAGGGGATTTCTGAAGCCAACTCTAGAAGCTGTAGGCTAAACATTTTGCACTGTTTTTATACTTGTATTCATATTGTCTTATCACTTCAGACTCAGACACAAGGCCTTTCAAATGGAGATCTAAAAAAAATTACTGCCGTTTATGTAAAATAATGTACTGTGACCAAGTTATTTAAATGGAAAATAAAGTGCTTTCTTTAACGAAACTAGCTGGTGTTTCATGGTGTGTCTCCTGAACTTTTTTGCTTTCAGAAAAGCCTGTGTTGTCACTGGGCGGGTCTCTCTGGCCACCTGGATGTCCCCAGCCTGTGCACCTAAAACTCTCATTTTCCTGGTGGTTACTTTTACAGTTTTGCAGCCCACGGATACTGTTTATTGGGCACTTTGTTAGCAGTAATAGAATTAGCAGTATTAAAGACATAAATCATGTCTTTACGATGGCCCAGCAAGAAACATAGGTCATTTACTAAGTGTTTTTCCTATGTCCCTTTAGAAGGTTCTATAAGTAGGTAAAAAGTTCTTACTGGCTTAATCAGAATATGGGCTGCATAAAGACTCACTTTCCAAATGATGCTTGAGGTGAATTAAAAACAGAAGAAAGCTTAAGAGAGAAAAGTTAAGTTTATGAGTTTATTTAGGCTCCTGGCATGTTTACTTGGATTCATCCTTATGTAAAGGCTTGGTACTAAAATAAAATTGGTATTTGAGTTCTGGGTACTAATATCAGCCAATATTCTCTACCTGTATTACATACAATTAAGTATAAACGGTGGGTTAGATGGAAAGAGATTTAATATGAGTTACTTATAGTCCCATTTTCTTTAGTGGCCACTAGTCTTAAAAGAGTTTTCAGATGACAACTGTAGAGTCATGTTAAAGGAAAAGGAGTGGGGACAGGGATATTACAGAAGAAATAAATCAGTTTAGGGTGTTTTTATATCTGAGTAAATCACACATCTTCCCTACAAAAGAAGGACAGAAGCCATTTTGCAAGTGGTATAGCTAGATATCCTAGGAAGAGATGATAATTTATTGAACACACAGAATTTTACTTTTATCAACTCGTATTTGCAATTTAATAGCTCATGGCTGCAAGGGACTTTTTACTGTGTGCATTTACCTACTACCTGAAATTGTTGGAATAAATGTGTTTTGCAATGAAAAAATTTTTTTTCTAGCAGATAATTCAGTTCACAGAAGGGATCGTCCTTACAATCTTTAGCACCTTAAAGGTTAAAACATTCTTTGAATTCAAGATAAATATCTCAACACACAGATCAAGCTGAAGTGAGGTCTAGAAGCCAGATCAAGTATTACTTAGAGGTTGCAACTGAACAGATGCTTAAAAAAATTGCTGAACTTCCTGCTTATTAGGTACACAGAAAAGCAGTTCTTCGGTGCCCTAATTTCTCTGAAATTAGAGGACGTTGGTACCCTTGCAGCAGTTGCATAGAGTACCTTTTGATACTCGGTTTTCCATCTGGGGTGGGCCAAAAGGATGGAGTCTGGCAGAATGAAGATTTTAGCTGCCTGACCGTGTATGACTCCTTTTCTATGCACTTACTATTTTTAATTTCTATTTAATTAAAGTTACATTTGTCAACAGGTCATATTAAACTGTAAGGACACATTTTCCCCCACAAGCTCAGGCAAGCAAATACTCATCCTTTGTAAAGTTTATGATGCTAAAAATATATACGACGCATTTGAACAGTGGAACAGGAACAGTTCCTTTGGATGATCCTGCTGTGATAAATACTTCAGTGAACCGATTAGCAACCCAAGAGAAATAAAAGAAGGAAGTACAAATTCAAAATAATCCCCGTGATCCAAGAGTATCTGATAGAACATAACCAGCTAGATGCAGGTGTGTGTGCGTGGGCGGCAATGATAGGGATGTGTTAGGGACTGATGGACATTTCCTTCCTAAGCACTGCGGGCCGGTGCTCACTGCGCACCACAGATTCCCCTTACAGGGCCAAGTATGTGCCGGCACAGCGCAGAGTCACGGCGGTGCTGGCACCTGGAAGTCGGGAAGAATCTCAGCCACCTTCTTACGGAGTTGCTGTCGCCTTTCTTCTCTTACTCTTTCCTCTTTCATAAATTTTACAAACTTCTTCCATGTCTGAAATGTGATCCGCAGAATCCTCCTTTAAGATAAAAAAGGAAAAAATGTGAAATACTAAGGGAAAGTTGACTTTCCACATTAAAAACTTTATAATCCTCCTTACGCAAATAAAACATAAAAAAAGGTATGGACATCACAACTGGAATTCAGATTGAGAAATGCCGTAAAGAAAATAAAGCTAAGGGGATTAAATGGTAATGGGAAAAAACAAACAAACAAACAAAAGGACAAGAAAGCAACAGAAGTGGGTGGGAGAGACTGACAGGTCACAGGCGGTCAGGGAAACCTGCTGGGGGCAGGTGACACCTCTGTGGACAGGATGGCAGGACGTGGAGGCATCTGCCCTCCACACTGTGCTCACAGGGAATGCATCCAGTCACCAGAAAAGCACAGATCATTTGTATACTGTCAAAGGAACTGCATAGTAGAATTTAGAGCATTTCTATCTAAAACACTTAAAATTACAAAGAAAAATATATCAGATATCTTACTCCCCAGGGAATAAAGAATACATACATTTGCTTAAGTCTGTTTCATAATTTGAATCCATAATCTTAACTCTGTATTGCACGCAATCTTATTTGTGTGCCAATCTGTGAGGCAGAGAATGCAGGCATCCTCTTCGTATTAATGATGGGGGTCCTGGAGTCGCAGGTAGTCGGGGGCTGGCTGGAGCTCCGCCCTCTACGTGGCGTCTGACCGCCCAGCTCTCCAGTCTCCAACTCATCTTTTCTAGGCATGTTCCAGGTATAGGATGTGTTGCAGGGTGATTGTGAAGTCAATGAGTGAATTTCCTCAGACATCCAAACCTCACCTGTCACTATGCTCTGCTGCAATCTTGTGCTTGCTCTGAGAATCGATCTTGGCCTCCCTGACCATGTTAAACCAGGCCCTGAAAATCTTCTTTTGAAGAAAATGTTTGCACAGGTTTTGTACTTCTTCCTCCAGGTCAGTCAGGTGCTGGGGGTGAGGGAAGGAACAGAAGTGAGTCAAATAGTGTCACAAAGAATTAGGGCAAATAGCACAAAAGAGGAAGAACTGAACAAACACAAAACGAAGGACACTAGAGGCATAAAGAGAGAACAGGGCAGTCAAAATAAAAAAAATCCTCTAATGTATGAAGGAAGTAATAATGGAGCCAGAGGGGTAGAAACGGGTCTAAGATTGCGGGGGTAGGTTTCTAGTAAAATCACTTGAGCAATTAGGGGATAAGAAAGGAGTATAAAATCAAAAGCTGATGTAATGACACATTATAATTGATAATTATAATTGATAAACACTGTATAAAAAGAAAAGCATGCTTAAGATTTTACACTTAGAAAAAACTTAAGAAAAAACTGAAAATTTCATGTTCATTTCAAGGCAGTGATTTGGATTGACTATTTTATATTGTTCTTCAAAAAACATAATGACTGCACATTCTGGACTACATCTAGTTCTCTTACACAGGATCGAGTAGAGACATGTATTTAAAGCTCCCTCCCCTGTGGCCTTACCTGTAGCCAGCTCCGGAGGACTCTCCTGAGCAATGTTTGCGAATAAAACTGCTCGGCCTGGGCAGTCTTCCTTGCCAGGCTTTCCTGACTACACTGGAACCAGGTGAGCAGGCATTTCCTCTGTAGGGCCAAGGAGTGATGTTCTTTGGCCACCTGGACAATTTTTTAAATAAGGAAATGATTCCTTTTATCTTAAATCACTTAAGGAAACACATTCCTTTGACAAATAATGCTGCAAACCACATATAGGCAGTTACTAGAGAGAATAGTCTATATACCAAAAGCTTTGACTATGGACCATATTTTATGGGCGTTTTAGATTCATCTCATGCATAGCCTTTCAATGCTGACTCCCTGAAGACCATAGCAACTGGCTGGTTATTAGGAAACTGGAATAAACAACCTCCAAAGCCATTATTTCACTTGCATTGAGTTTTGAAGTGGGCGGCTGGCAACATTCTCAGTTTGTTCTGTTGGAGCTTAGACAGCAACTCCATAACAAACCTCTCTTCTTTATGTACTTAACCACTGCCTAATTGAGGAAACACTAATACTCTCAATTAGTTTTGTAGAATGAGCTGTCACCAGTACTGAAATTTAGACATTATCAATAAACCACAAAACCATTTGATAGAAAAATAACATGATGAATCATTTAATATCTTACCAACTTAAAAGGCTCAGAGCATCATTCTATCAAAGTAAACATAAAACTCAGAGCTCAGAGATTTTACAAAGTAACTGTTACATTCTTTCAAGAGGTAGGAGGAAGAAATCCTTCTCTCTCTGTCCTCTCCAATTACATATTTTTCTAATCTTTGTCTGGCCCCCCAGCAATGTGAGTGTGACTGATCCCAGTGACTCCCTTGAAGGTCTTATTCCTTGGTCAGAATGACCATCAAAGGCGGTCTCTCTGGCACCTGAGATGGCTGCATGTCCTGGCTCCTCCCCGTCTGGGAGCCAAAAGGCAAGGGCAGCCAGAAACACAAGCCTCCTCCCCTCCCTTCTCCTCTTCCTCTGGGAAAACAGAACCAGAAAGAGAAAAAAGATTCTCAGAAGGTTCCTTAAAACTTCTCAAAGTGGTTGTTGGACTAAATGGAATACAGAGTGAGAAGGAGAAAATACTGAGATGTTCTGAATTAAATTAGTGGCTAGAAAGGGAGAGAGACATAACTGCCAGTCTGTTCATACTGCTCACATTCCTTCTGTTGACTGTTGGCACTTCAGATTAATTTCTGGGTGGCTACTTCCACAGATTATTTTAGCCAGGTGCCATCTAACTCCAGGAGCCTCAGCTTGTTTACACGTGTGCTTTCCAGACTGTTGCCCACAGCCCCTCTACAGGAGTGAACACTTCTTTATCTAGTCCCACTTCATGCTCTCCAGCCCCTCTGCCTAGAGCTAATGAAAATTCTTTGTCTACTTCTTTCTCCTCCCTCCCTCTAACTGATGTACAAAAATGCCTGCAAAACTCTGGGACCATGGACACGCTGTCTTTTCCACCTAGTCATGCTCCTGGTGATTTAGACTCTATGCCCCAAGACCCGTCTTCTTTGGGCTGGCACTGGGACCAATAAAATCTTATTTAGAAAAGAGTTCAGTCATGGAAGTTTTGTTTGTTTGTCTAACAAGCACAGGTGTCCTGGCTGGCGTGGCTCAGTGGCTTGAGAGCCTGCTTGCGAACTAAAAAGTTGCCAGTTAGAGTGCCAGTCAGGACACATGCCTGGGTTGTGGGCCAGGCCCCCAGTAGGGGGCGCTCAAGAGGCAACCACATATTAATGTTTCTCTCCCTTTCTTCCTCCCTTTCCTTCTCTAAACATAAATAAAATCTTTTAAAAAACAACAAAAACAAGCACATGTGAGTTTAAGAGAAAATGCTAGATAACCCTTCTGAAGAAAGTGTTATAAAGAAACTGGGAATTGTTTAACTGGACCCTACTCCTTTCTTGATTTTTTTCTTATCCCTTCCTGAAAGCCAACTCTGATGGGTGAGAAGCTACTCCTTCCTCTTACTGTTCTCCAGAACTCTTCGCTTTACTTTTTTATTTTATTTTTTTACTTCCAGTTGGTGGTTGGCACCTACATCCACCTCTGGTTCCTACACAGCACAAGGCATCCCAGAACTGGGCAGGACTCTTAGAAGAAGATGGTGCTGAGCTCCACTCTAGCTTTGCAACCAATGCTCTGTGTGCAAGTCAGTTCACTTATCTACAAATTGAAAGAGATGGAGAGAATTATTAATATTCTAGATTTTATTATCTTGTTGTGGTAGGCTGAATAGTGGTCCCTCAAGGATGGCCTTGTCTTGATCTCTGGAACCTGTAAATAGGTGACCTTACCAGGTAAGAAGGATTTTGCAGATGTGACAAAGTGAAGGATTTTAAAATGGAGAGATTGTCTTGGATTGTATGGGAGAGCCCTAAATGTAATCACAAGGGTCCTTAGCAGAGGGAGACAGGAGGATCAGGAAGGATAAGAATGACCTGAGGAAGAGGCTATGAGCAATGGAATGCAGGCAACTATTAGAAGCTTAAAAAAGGGAAAGAAACAGATTTTCCCCTTGGAACCTCCAGAAGGAACTTGTCCTGCTCACAGTTTGACCTTAGCCTAGTAAGTCCAATTCTGGACTTCTGACCTCCAGAATTTTAAGATAATAAATCTGTGTTGTTTTAAACAACTAAGATTGTAGTAATTTGCTATAACAGCAATAGGAAACAAATACACTTGTATGAACTAGAGACTTGAATCTCAAAATATGGTGCTGAGACCACGTGTATCAAAATCCCCTGGGCTGCATTTTAAAAATGAAGATTCCCTGATACCTGCCCCCGTTCTCCCATCCCCTGCCCTAGGACATGGGACCAGGAACGTGCATTTTTATAAGTTTTCCAGATCGTTTCATGAACAAGAAATTTTGAAAATGCTGGTTTCAGATCTGTGATCTCCTGTTTTTATTTTAAATAGGTTTTCTAAATAGAAAGCCTATAATTGTTATTTTGAGCTTGAACTCCTGTTTCTATTTTTACATTCTTCTGAATGAATTTTTAAAAATTCAGTTTGGTTATTCACCCAAGAATCTTTTTGTTTCTAAATTACATACCTTTCTTGATTTTACTCAGCCAAAAACAAGGAACACGCCATGGCTGGTGTGACTCAGTGGACTGAGTGCTGGCCTGTGAACCAAATCGTTGCCGGTTCGATTCCCAGCCAGGGCACAGGCCTGGGTTGTGGGCCAGGTCCCCAGTAGGGGGCACATGAGAGGTAACCAACACATTGATGTTTCTCTCCCTCTCTGTCTCCCTCCCTTCCTCTCTGGCTAAAAGTAAATAAAATCTTTTTTTTTTTCTTAAAGCAATATTCATTATTAAAAAAAACAAACAAAAAGACCCCTCAAACAAGAACCAGCCCTGGCTGGGTGGCTCGGTTGGTTGGAGTGTCATCCTGTACATCAAAAGGCTGTGGGTGTGATCCCTGGTCAGGGCACATACCCAGGTTGCAGGTTAGATCCCTGGTTGGGGTGCAGATGGGAGGCAGCTGATTGATGTTCCTCCCTCACACGGATGTGTCCTTGCGTGTGATTTCACAGTGCCTCCTAATGGAGTAGATAAGCCTCTTTCACCCCTCAATCACTATTAGTTTAGCCCTATGACTTGCTTTGGCCAACAGAATGTTAGTAAACATGACACAAGCAGAAGTTTCATATTGATTTACATAACAGGGTTTTGGCCTTTATACCTCTGACATTGGCAACATGAAAAACATGCTGTGAATAACTGCTGGAGCCAGAAAGAGAGGCTATGAAGAGATCTGAACCTAATCCATAACTGTTTCACAGACATGTGAGTGAGAAATAAATGCTTGAGTTACATGCCACTGATATTTGGGGGCTGTTTGTTATTGCAGCAAAAACCTGATAACAGACCTTATGGTAATTAGTTTTCTCTCTGTTAAACACTGCTAATAATAAGAGAGGCCTCTATTTGTCTTACCTTGAAGGTCTATAATAAAATATTTGCTCAGTTTTTAAAAACTTATTCAATCACAGAAATCTTTCTCCGCCTTGGAAGACCAAATCTAAACTTTTATCAAAACTACATAAATACAAATACTCAATTCATTTATCCTTCTGGCTTCTAAATCACCAAACAACACCTAAAACCTAATATGGTGTTTATCCTATTTGAAAAGTCCATTTTCAAATTTTGGAGGGTAGGAGTATACATTATACCTGCATATTTTGCTTGCTTTGAATTCTCAATCTCTTCCAAGGCTCCAGACCTTTTTTCCTTAGCAACACCCTTTCATAATGATCTTTGGCTACTGCTTCCAGCTGCTGGTTCCTCTTAATTCTTTTGTGCTTCTCTAGTTCTCTCTGAAAAAAAATTGTAAAAATGCTGAGGAAAGACCAAAAGGGCAACATAGGAGGCTCCTGAACTTCCCTTCTCCTTTGGATGCACTTAATAGACAGCTACATATGGAGCAATTCCCTCTGGAAGAAATCCAGAAACTAGCTGAGTGACTTTTCCAAATCGGGCAAATGAGAAAATATCCACGTTAAAATGGATATAAAAGGTGGAGGCACATTCTTGCCATAAACTCATCTCTGGCAGAGCGCCATACAATAGGGAGGGAACACCCAACCTGCAGCTTCTCCCTCAGGAGCAAAGGATTTGGACTGCACATCTAGAACTCCATTTTTTAAAAAACTATACATTTTGTTGGTGATGCTATTACAGTTGTCCCATTTATTTTCTCCCCTTTATTTCCTTTCACCCTGCGTCCCCCCTTCCATCTTACATCCCCCCCCCCTTAGTTGATGTCCATGGTTTGCACATATAAGTTATTTGGCTTCTCCGTTCCCTATACTATTCTTCACCTTCCCCTGTCTATTTTGTACTTACTATTTATGCTGCTTATTCCCTGTACCTTTTCCCCTGTTCTTTCCCCTCCCCCTCCCTGCTGATCTCCCTCAACGTGATCTCTATTTCTGTGATTTTGTTCCTGTTCTTGTTGTTTGCTTAGTTTGTTTTTGTTTTTTTAGGTTCAGTTGTTGATAGTTGTGAATTTGTTGTCATTTTACTGTTCATTGTTTTGATCATCATCTTTTTCTTAAATAAGTCCCTTGAACATTTCATATAATAAGGTCTTGGTGATGATGAACTCCTTTAACTTGACCTTAGCTAGGAAGCACTTTATCTGCCCTTCCATTCTAAATGAGAGCTTTGCTGGATACAGTACTCTTGGATGTAGGTCCTTGCCTTTCATGACTTTGATTACTCCTTGCCAGCCCCTTCTTGTCTGCAAGGTTTCTTTCCAGAAATCAGCTGACAGTCTTATGGGAACTCCTTCATAGGTGATTCTCTCCTTTTCTCTTGCTGCTTTTAAGATTCTCTCCTTATCTTTAATCTTGGGTAATACAATTGTGATGTGCCTTGGTGTGTCTTTCCTTGGGTCCAGCTTCTTTGGGACTCTTGAGTTTCCTGGACTTTCTGGAAGTCTATTTCCTTGGACAGATTGGAGAAGTTCTCCTTAATTATATTTTCAAGTAAGTTTTCAATTTCTTGCTCTTCCTCTTTTCCTTCTGGCACCCCTATGATTCGGATGTTGGAACGTTTAAAGTTGTCCCAGAAGTTCCTAAGCCTCTCTTCATTTTTTTGAATTCTTGTTTCTTCATTCTGTTCTAGCTGAATGTTTATTGCTTCCTTCTGCTCCAAATCATTGATTTGAGTCCCAGTTTCCTTCCCTTTACTCCTGGTTCCCTTATATTTTTCTTTATTTCATTTTGCATAGCTTTCACTTTTTCCTCTATTTTCTGACCATACTTGACCATTTCTATACGCATGCTGAATACCAGTGTTTTGAACTGTGCATCTGATAGGTTGGCTATCTCTTCATCACTTAGTTGTATTTTTTCTGGAGTGCTGATCTGTTCTTTCATTTGGACCATATTTCTTTGTCTCAGTGCACCTGTAACATTGTAAGGAGCAAAGCCACGGTGGGGCAACTCACATCGCTGCATTGTGGTGCTGTATGTGGGGGACGGGTCAGAGAACAATGCTGCTTGCTCAGCTCTCAGTCACTTCCCCTGCCATCCAAAAGCAAATTGGGCCCTTCTGGTGCTGATTCTTGGGTGGGTGGGTTTGTGTATGTTCTAGAATCCTGTGGGTCTCTCCAAAGAACTCTCCTGTGAGGCTAGGAGTTTCTCCTGCCACTGCAACCGCCACAGGTTTTTATAGCCAGAGGTTTTGAGGCTTGCTTTTCTTGCACTGGAACCCTGGGTTGCATGGTCTGTCTCGCTTCCCACTTCTTCCTCCTGGTTTATCTCCATGCAAATGTGGGACCGCCCCATACACCACCTGCCAACTTGCCTGCCTGGTTGTCCAGCTGCTGCCTTGCCAGGCCCCCTTTCTGCCCCTCCTACTGGTCTGGATGAATGTTTCTTCTTTAGCTCCTTGGTTGTTGGACTTCCACACAGTTTGATTTTCTGACAGTTCTGATTGTTTTTTGTTTTTAAATTTGTTGTTGTCTTCCTTTTGGTTGTGTGAGGGGTCAAAGTGTATCTACCTACTAGAACTCCATTTGTTAAAAACTTTCTTAAAATTAAGTTTGAGTTGTACATTTATGTAGAAATTTTTGATGAAAATGGTATACAACAAAGTTTCCTTTCCCATTCTTGTTCCCCAGCCCACTGTATTCCCTCCTTACTAGTAGCAAGTTCTTATGTATCTTTTTAGAAATGATTTTTTAAAACAGAGTAAGAGCTATCATTATTACTAGAGCTTAATTCATCTTAGAAAAATGTCCCAGGGCAGTCACCCTTCCCTTTAATGGCTGCATAATATGTCATATGGATTTGGACATATGGATTTTATATACAAGTAGAACCATGATTTTTAAAACCACCACCCAAGGGATGGGCCCAAAAACATGTAGCTCTGAAAAACAATGGGGCTTATGTCCATGAGACACACCACTACAACAAAGAAACAGTTCTTAATGGATGGGTGAGATTTCACTGGCTGTCTCCATATGGTTCAGCCTAAGGGAAAACAGGCAAAAATGCCCACCTCCTAGTCTTTTCCTAAAAGGGGTTTGACTGCATACTTTACAAGCAGCTGCCTGAGGGTTTGGCTTCTCATTCAGCATGCATCTAGGGGCTGGTGGCAAACCTCCAGAAGTTTGGGGGACCTAGTTGGCCGTTACCTAACCTTCCTCCTTCAGCTTGCTCCAATAATAAAACCAGATTGCCACCATCTCTAGAAGTTGGTGTACACATCTGGCATGCCAGTTTTTGTGACTGCCATCTGAGGGCTGGGCCCCTGGATCACTGGCTCTGATAGCCAATGGAGCTTACATTCACATTCCCACAGAACTATAGCAAACAAAGAAGCAATTTTTAAATGAGTGCAGGGACATTAGGACTGCTGGTCAAGATGGTGGCATAGGCAGACATGGCCCGCTTCTTTGCATAACCACATCCAAATTACAACTTAAATATAGAACAATCAACACTTGGAACCATCAGAAATCGAGTTGAATGGAAGTCTGACAACTATGGAATTAAAGAAACCACATCCATCCAGACTGGTAGGAGTTGTGCAGATGCAGAATAGGCTGGTCCCTCACCCACATGTGGTGGATAAAAATTTGGGAAGGATACCTCAGGAGCAAGGATTCCCAGCCCCACACAAGGTACCCCAGCTCATAATTCCAGTACCAGGAAGATAAGTCCCCACAACTTCTGGCTGCAAAAACCAGCAGGGATTGAGTCAGTGGAAAAAACTTCGGGAGCCCCAAGCAGTTCCTCGTAAATAACCCACCCACAGACCTACCTACCTCCTCAGACTCACTCTCTCTGAGCTCCAGCATCAGGGTAGGTGCTTGAAAGGCACCAGTGGTATACAGGGAGAGACTGAAGTGTCTGGCATCAAGGCAAGCAGAGGCCATTGTCCCTTTTCTAACCAATGCCCCCCATCCCTGCCACACAATGTAGCCAGCAAGTTGGTACCATATCAGAGACTCTATCAACCTGGCTAACACTGTTTGACCCTCCTTGGAGATTCCCAGAAACTGCCTCACCCAACTTATGGGCCCATGCAAGCTGCTTCTCCATATGAATGATTGGTCTTGGCTCATGCTTCACAACTTCCTAAATCCTCTCAAACAAGCAACAGCTGGACTCAGTGAGCCCCAGGCCGGGGACTAGCAGCAGCCAGCCTAGATTCACAGCTTGGCTTTGTCTGGGAATCTCCAAGCCCCGCACAAGTAGCAACCATCTCAGATGGCTTTATAGCTCAGGCAAGGTGGCCCTGGGAAAAACACAAGTAGGGGCTGACCTTGGCCTGCATCACCCTAGGGCCAGTGTACCAAGTGGACACCTACAGACCATATCAGAGCACCACCACCTTGCCCCTGCACAGCTGATCCTCCATGGAGGACAAAGGTTGGTGGTAAGTGGTCATAGCCAATACTTGCAGCTGACTGTCCTTGGCAAATCCCTTCCATTGATCTGCTAACAGCAACCTAGGTTCAACTACAAGAGGAGGGTGTACTCAGCCCACACAAAGGGTGCAGCTCCAGTACCCAGCTTGCGTGATAGGGGAGGCTGTGCCACTGGATTCTACAGGACACCTACTACATTAGGCCACACTATCAAGACACAGAGTCAAAGAAGTTCGACTTAATATATAGAAACAAACATAGGGAGGCTGCCAAAATGAGGAGACAAAGAAACATGGCCCAGATGAAAGAATGGATCAAAACTCCAGAAAAAGAGCTAAACCAAACATAGATAAGCAATCTATCAGATGCAGAGTTCAAAACACTGGTTAAAAACAAGGATGCTCAAGGAACTTAGTGAGGACTTTAAAGGCATAAAAAGATTCAGTCAGCAATGAAGGATACACTAATTGAAAAAAGAACAATTTATGGTGGAAGAACAGTAGAGTGGATAAAGCCGAGAATCAAATCAACGATATGGGACATAAGGAAGCAAAAAGCAACCAAGCAGGACAACAAGATGAAAAAAGCATCTAAAAAAGAGACAGTTTCTACAAAGGGATAGGAAATATTTAAAAAGTACCAAACATATGCACACAGCTGAAGAATACAATTGCACTGAAAATTCCATAGGGTTTCAACAACAGACTAGAGCAAGCAGGAGAAAGGATCAGCTAACTTGTAGACAGAGTAGTGGAACATCCTATCAGAGGAACGAGTACAAAAAGAATGCAAAAGAGTGGGTGTTTGACACCGTCATCAAGAGGACAAATATATGCATTATAGGGGTTGCAGAAGAAGAAGAAAGAAAGGCAATGAGAGCTATCCAAAGAAATACTGGCTGAAAACTTCCCTAACCTGGGGAAAGAAACA